GAGGGGGGATTATTCTCAATGTTCGAGGCAGGAGGACTCCAAGTATCTGAACTATCGTACGATGTTTCAATAGTTTTTAAGATTGAACCAGGAGTATTTTTTGTGGCAGTAGTCCTAAAATCTGACTCATCTTGCGTCATTTCACTTTTTAATTTAGTTTCAGGGATATTGTCTGTTTCCATTGGTTCTTCCAAGTCTTTTGAATTTTCTATGTGTTCCCCATTACCAGAATACTCTAATTCTGGGTTTGAATGAATGTCAAGGTCATTTGTGGACTCTATATTGTCATGTGATGTAACTGGAGTTGGACTATGAATATGATTATTAGATGACTGATGTTTGGAGTCTGTTTGCATTGTGACACACGAAACTGGACTGGAATCGACAGTACCTTGATGTACCTTTTCTGATTTAGTTTCTATGACAATATTAACGACGGGTTTATCTGTTTCCATGGAAACACCGTTAGTCTGTGGTACGTTTTTGCGTAGTTGTTCGTTTTCAGTTTGTAATTGTGCGAGTTGTTCCTTTGTTTCCTTTAACTGTTGTTGTAAGAGATATATCATACTCTGCATTCCTTCCACATCTTCTTCAAGATCAGCCACAAATTCATCCATTTCTGAAATATACACAAAAAACTGTTAATGAAATGAAAAGTCTGAAGATACTTTGCTACACTGCAGCACAGTAGTACAATCATGCTACGATACGATGTAATATATTAATTCATAACTTTATCACTATGATATTTAGTAATATAGTGGTTAGCCTCCACTGTCTTTTATAAAAATCCCCGCTTATGTATGGAATAAAAGGTACCGTCAGATATCAATACACGACGCAATGATACGATATGTGTATCATTGCATGTTGTATCCTATATTTCGATATATGATGTCAGCACAGACAAGGGGAAAATAATCAAACCAGAATAAAACTTCTGATATGTAGAACAGCATGAAAGCATCTTAATCACAGAACCACTCTGGCCCCCATAAAATTTCACAATAATAATAAAGTACAATACAAGTATTTTAAAAGTACACTTTTACTTGGACGATAAGCTTTAAAGGAACACATCTTAGAATGAACATAAAATTTAAATTATTTTAACTTGATCAATAAAAGCATATATTCATCAGTTCATCACTACTTAGTTTTATGAATTTTTCAGGGATTCTGTTCACTGATGAATAGATATATTTCATGTTAACCATTATTGAGAACATCAATTTTATGTTCATTCTAAGACCTAGTATCACTTTAAGTTTGTGATAAAACAAATGAGCACTAACACACCTTCTTGACCCTTCTTCATCTCTGTAACCAGTGTTTTTTGTAAAGCTATTTCACCCTCAAGTTTAGCTGTTTTACCCGATGCTATTGTTTTACCCAATTCCTCATTCTCTTGTAACAATTTCTGACATTTTACCATTAACCGTTTCCCAGTTTGACTGAAAATAGAAGACAATTGTTCTGATATCTTATAATATCTAGGGCATCAATACTGAAACAGGTTAAAGTTATGAGTGTTAGAAATGTCTTGACAGTTTCATGAAAGATATGTTGATGTAAAAATTCACACATTCATCACAGACACATTCAGACATATGACTACTGTAAAAAGATAAAGCTATAAACTAACTTTCATTTATCAATAACAAAAGATGATGTTCATATGTTGATACTTTCGGCCACTTACATTCTCACACCTGATCTGATATATACCTCAATGATTGATGATAATGGCCCAGATGTGCCTTATTGTTAAGGGGGAATGGAAATTAAATTTTAATTCTGAAAACAGCCACCAACAGCTTAAATTGAGCTTGAATAGATTGTAACACAAGTATAACTGTTTTCCTTATATCCTGATGTTAAACTTGCCCAAATTTTGTCAACATGATCGAAAAATATGAAATGGAGATTTACATCCCTGAATAAGAAAAAAATAATTTTTGACAATAGTGTCCACGATGTATAGCTGTACAAGTATGTTCTTACATATCCATCTAATAACACCATTAAACAACATCGAAACTATACCAGTAAAGCAATCATGTGTTTTTTGGATGTGTATAAATATATATCTCTTGGCCTACATATAATTTTCAGGTCAATCTACACCAAAGAAGGCTATTATTATGATAAAACTATAAAGAACAATGCTATTGTAAAAATATGAGATGAGTGAGCAAATAATACATGTTTATAAAAATTCTGAATATCGATCTATATCCTTAAAATCTTTTCCTCAAGACAAAACTGCAAGGAAATGACCTGAAAGTTAATGGTCACTCTAGAATTTGATAAGCATATCCTAGAACTTTTAACTGGCTTACTTAGAGAGAAGAGATTTATTCATAAATCAATTCATACAGACATATTATTATCATCAAAATCAGATCAAAACTGTAGTATCTGTCAAATTAATTCACAAATCACATTTCATGCAATTGACTGTACCATGAGGCCTAGGTTGGATTAAAGCAAAATTAATAAACACACCAAGTTTCATGAAAAGACGGTTTTACTGTTGAAGTGTAGATAATGTGCCAACGGCAATGTTTTCATATAAACCTTGGTTAAATCATGGCCTGCAATACTATTTAAAAATTTTGCAGGGTAATATTTCATTTGAACAAATTGTATTTCCAGACTTGCCCAGGGACAACTTTTTTTTAGCCTGCTCAGACAATCAACACTTAAACCTTTTCAACTAAAATTATAATTTTGAATGCAAATCCTGTTTGAAATTGTTTAGATTTAAGAGACAATTTATATGAGCAAATTCAAAAGATTTTTCAATTTCACATATTACAAATGTCATACCAAAGCAATAACTGAACACTTATCTAAATTTACCATTTAACGCTTCAAGTAGCACATTTTGCCTAATATGTCATGTAATTGGAAATGAAATGATACATTTATTGCATTAAAAGACAAATGACCCATACCCACTGATAAAATAATGACATAGTTGGAGCTGTAAGAGGAGGACGCCAATATCCTCAATTGGAACCATTCTGATTTTCAGTCAGACATCCTTGGCTCTTGCAATTCCCTAAAAGTAAGTATTTTATGAGACACTATCGCACAAGCTGCTATTGATAAATAATGCCATCATAAAGCACATAATTATGGTGGAATTGCAAAACCACAGATGTCAGATTCAAAATTGGAATGGTTCAAATTGATGCTATTAGCATCCCCTAATACATATAAAACTTTCAGAAATTATCTTTAAAACTACTTTAGTATAGGTTGTAAGACTTGAATGACAACACTTTAGTCTGCTACCTGAAGGGTGGGATGGCAGATGCAGTTCCTGGCTTGAGACCAGCTTTACATCAGATTGATATTCTGTAGTGTCATGGATTGCTGAATAGGGTCTATCAATCATTACCAAAATATACACTGGAATATAATCCAGTTTTTTTGTTCAATCATAAACTTGCCCAAATATCAAGCCATCTATTTGTAAAATTTTGACCACCTATTTATGTATATCAGGACATTGAAATCATCGATTTGCACCATTCCTTTCCTATGGTTCTTATAATTCACCAAACTAAAGCCTTTTACTTCACCACTATAGCAAACTAACTAGCAGCTTTTACAATAGTGATACATAAAACACTTAAGTTTTAGTGGAATTGGAAAGGGGTAAATCAATATATACCTATTACACATACTTTATGCCTCTAAGCATCATTTCATATAATTTTTGTAAGACATATTGAAGTAGTACATTAAAACACTAAGATACATGGATATACTACTGGATTTATTACTTGTATGTTTTTTGAAACATAGTATGTAATATATCCAGAAGTAGAATATCCATAATCATTTCTTACATATATAGTTTTATCATAAAATAGCCATTTGGATGTTATAAATAGACATATATTTTCAATTAGTCTTAGATTTGAAGATTTTTAGTAATGAAAGCACTGGATCTAATACATGACAGTAATTTCAATCTGTTTTTGATTGACTTAATTGCCAAGAGCCTTTGTAATTCATGAAATTTGTCTACTGCACTAATTTTTTTTAATTGACACAAGCTGAATAGATTTTGTTTGTTCTGTTGGTCTATCTCTTAGCAGCAAATAAATGTACAGCTCTTAGCACTTACAAGTCAAAAGATGTCCTATGTCAGCTGCAACAATATCTTCAAGATTATTCTGGTTGTTGATGAACACTTAAATGTTTTACTTGAAGTCAAGGGCAGTTACTATTGGTAGTAAAATGCACTGATCTTATTATCAAAGCCATGTCAATTATCCAGAATTGGCATTGGCTAGATTTAGTGTCATATATTGTCTGTTCAAGTCGTATTCTTATACAGGCCATGATTTCTTTGTTCTTACAGCCATGCAGCACTTATTGTAGCATTGTGAACTTTTTTTAAAAACTTAATATTCATTCACCTTTCACTCACCACACATTCAACAAAATAAAATAAAAATCAGATACTTAAAGCTGAATAATAGCACCGGAAGTGTCCATTTTAACACAAAAAAGCAATAAAACAAAATTCACCTTTCTGCATAGACAACAGAGTACTTCCAAGGGGACGAAACTCTTAATGTTTGAGGCAGATTGTTTTTAAGTGGAGAGACACATAAATTGCCGAGAAAATAGAAGAGTTTCTTTAACATAAATGTTTCAAAATTGTTATTTTTTTAGACTGTTTTATTCAGTGTGTCATTTTGGGTGGTGATCACTTACAACCTATTGAATGTCGTTTTCACGACAATGTTATACTGTTACCGCTTTTTAGTTTAATTTCGGCGTGTGAGAAGAGTTCCATCTCTTTTACAGTACATTTGGTATTGTTCTGGCAAATAGTAAGGCATCCATTCCCAGTGAACGTTTTCTAATGTTTTCAGATGTTCCATTTGCCTTTGTACTGAGAAACCCACTTTTTTCCATAACAAAGAATGCAACCAATACGATTGGTTATATTCGTCGCGCAGAAAGTTTTTCCATCAAGTTGGCCATATTGTCAAATTACAAAGTTTAAAATCTCCCGGCAATAATAATGTCTGAAAGTTATTTGCCGAGAGATTAATAATGTTACCATGGTAATAAGATAAACACCTGTCAGGCGTGAACTTCCAAGCGCTAAGTTCATTTTGAGTTTGCTTCAATTTTTCTTTATTTTCCTCCATTTCTTTTGTTATTCTCTGGAATATCAAATTCACTGCTGGATCCAGGAGCATCGTACGTAATTGGGCCATACTGGTTGTCTGTCCTGCCTTCATTTCTTGGATCTGATTCTGAAATAGAAAAGTAAATCATTGGAATAAAATCCCGTTATACAATACATAGAACCTATGAAATACAACCCCTGATCATTTCTATTGACTTGTAATGAAATATGGGTATTTACATGCTGAAATAAAATGTCATGTACCAGATTTATTTCTTTACTAAACAATACAATTTGACAGGAAGTCAGAGCAAAGCAAGAAATTTTTTCATCCCTTAAACCAATTTTTTTCAGGAATACAATCATACCACAGGCATAAAAGTTAGAGGAAGTCCAAGACCTACACATTTTTACAAGAAAGGGGGCATAACTCAAACTCAAGGGGAAATAACAAGAAATGAGAAGGAAGAAGTCCACCTACCATACAATCTTGTAATTCCTGTTCTTTTGTTGTTAACCTCATCACAAGAGTATTTTCACGTCTTAAAGCCTCAATATTTTGTTGTTTAGATTTGTCTTCATCTTTAACCTCATCATCACCAACTGGAATAAAATATCAACTATAAATATATATCTATAAATAAATATCTCTTGAATATTCTTCTAGTTAATAGTGCTCAGTTTCAGCTCTACCTCAAATTTTAGATTTCAACTTTTAACTTTCAATTGACAACAGTCCACACATGTTTTTTTTTCACTTTTAAGGAAACAGTAAGACACATTGATAAGTGATACAGATACAAAAAACCTGGTTCTTTCAGTAGAACAAGCAAATATTTAGATCACTATATCCCCTTTATTTTCAACAAAGTATTTCTAATCCCCTAAGTATCCTAAAATACATCTGATCTAATCTGTTGATATATATAGCCAATATATATTTGTCAAAGCCACATCTAGAAAATAATGGCATACCTGTATCAACAGATTTCTGTTTTTTATTTTCTAAATGCTTGATATAACCATTCTGTTCCTCAATTCTGCAATTAAAGAAACGATACTTAGGTTTATATAGAACATGAAAAACGGCTTATTAGGAGTGGGACAACAACTAAAACTTTCCTACCAGATTGCAAATAGAGTTGTAGTTATGTCAAGACAAATGACAGTACTGAACTAAATTTAACAGCTCTTAGAAATCATATAACTTCATGACCTATGGGAAATTTATTCTCATATCAACGTAACACTACCTTTAATTTCTAACCATTTCATAATTTACATCTTCAAAGTTGTAAACAGGGCAAAGTGATTACATTGATGTGGAACATAGGCATACAGTAGCTTTTATGGATTCTATTATGAACTAAATAATTAAGAATCATATAATGAAACTATCTTCTTGAATTGTTTGATGGTTTGATCTATATCTTACTTGGATATGAGTTCTTCTTTTGTCATACTGTTCATTTCCTCTAAATCTAACTTCACCTACAATGTAATAATAGAAAGCACCAAATCAGCTACTGAAGGAAAAAAAATCTTTGTCTTATAAGTAATATTAGGGGTGCTAAGAAAATTACAAAATTGCTTGAAGTAAAAATTGTAACCTTACCTTCTTGGGTGAAGGTGATCCTTCTGACATCTTGACTACTTCACTTCTGAAATATATAAGTTATGGTACAAATTAGACTTGAATGCATTCATTATTGTGGAAATTAATTCAAAGAGAGGAATTTCAACTGCATATTTTGGGCAGGGTTACTGGATGACAATCACTTTGAATGTTCATGACTTTGACCATGACGACATAACAGCCAATCAAATCGCTTATAGCTATCAAGAAAATGGCGGAGAAAATTTTCATAATTTTCACTCCTCCCTGTTCAACATCAAGTTTGCAATAAATAAATAAAAGGTGTTGATATTGATGGATTTTAGTATGGATATGTTGTTCTATACATGAAGTGGATATTTGATTGTTTTCCACTCATAGCAAGTTCACAATTTGACCCATACATGTGTAATCTACCGATGTTGTTGGGTTTCTACCGCTTTTGCATGTTGTCTACCGCTCTACCGGCGGGATACCCAATTCTACCAAATTTTGTTTTTTTTAACTGATCAAATTTTCACGGGACTTACCGTTTTCAATGTTCAAATTCTCTACCATAAATCAACAAAATATCTATCATTACTTGTAACTTAATTGCCGGTACAAGCGTTAATCTCACCACGTAATAATATTATGATTTCTTGATTAATTAATCCCCCAATTAAGATGGTAATCTATTGATCTATTTTCACTCGATAATGTGTATTTTTTTTTTAGCCCATGTGACACACTTTTTATAACAACATCCGGTAGATTCTACTTTCGCTTTTATAATAAATTTTACGGTAGCACTACTTTTACTAAAAAACGAAATCTTGAAGTCTTCTCAGTATTTTATACCGTCAGTGTCAATCTGTGGGGTCTATATTAGGCATTTATAACATAAGATGTCGTTTCAGAATTTTTTTTCATTATCGGTAGATTATCATACGCGACTGGATGTTTAATTATTATGTAATTGTAAACTCAAACTTTGTTTCATAAAATCGTTTTGTAATTTTACTGTAGCCTGTAAACATTCATTTTATTGCCTGCATAACCGTCTTACTCATTACAAGTCTTTCCATATCTGAAGAATGTCAAAATGGGAACTGCAAATTTGGTCCAATACTTCGTGAGGGTATTGCAGGAAAAGTATTTAATGATAGAAATAGAGATAGTTTAGATGTCATGAATTACACATTTGGAAAAAGTAACATTGCCAGTACATATTACTAAATATTGCTTTCAGAACATACTGATTTAATATGGTATTACATATATGATGTAAGCCTACCGGTACCATTTAATTTAGACGGTACCATTTAATTTAGACGGCTGGGATCATGCTTGATTTCTTGTTTTCAAACATCATTTCACCTTGACATTATTTTTGATTCAATCAATACTGAAGAATGAAAATATCAAAATTTTTTTAGGCCCCTATATTTGAAATATCCCTAATTATAGATTGTTAATTTTGACTGTGTCATGAAGGCTTATGATCAACTTAATTTACAAGGCTTAAAGCTTATTTAAAAAAAGAAAAAAAGAATCAATTTGGAGTTTCAAATCACGAATTTATGCGCTTTGGAAAAATCTCCTGACTTTTCACCCAATCTCCAGATTTTTCAAGGCAAATCTCCAGATTTTTCAAGGCAAATCTCCAGATTCTTTTCCTGTATGATTTGACCATAAACTCTGTCTACACCTATCAGCACTTGCCATGGCGTTAATTAGCATAGCAGCTTATGTCTACGATTTTGACTAGTTAATTAATTTAACCCCAAAGTTGAAAGAATCGTCTTATCAGTGCTGGTTGCTTGATTTCCAATAGTAACTGGTTTCTTTTCAACCACCCTAATCACTTTTAATTCAATCATAGAACTATCTATTACAGTTCTATGATTCAATAAGTTTTGAACAACCAAATTTGGCCTTTTTCATTTCTTGTCAAGAAAATGAAAGAAACAGGTCAGATACATAACAAATACATTTAGAGCAAGAGAAGAAAATATCTTGCGAATCATAAAAAGAGCATACTTTGGCAAAAACGTCACAGATTTGTCTTCAGACAAAGAAACCAGTTTATTTTTAACAGGAAAAGATCTCCACCAGAGTCAACATCAACAAAATGGCGGATATTGCTTGGGTCAAAGATTTCATTTCCGGTTTCGGTTTACAAGAAATAAACGTAATGTACAAACATTAATCCACCATAATTACCTCTGAATATTAGCTGTCAGTTGCACAAATATCTGATGAATAACTATATAATACTTTTAGTCGATTGCAACTATAACTGCAAATAATTTTCAAAAATTGTTTTCTTGTCCAGGGACGCCGCCATGTGCAGAAAATATGCAAATTATTTTGATAAGATAATTAATACGGATTGGTAGTTGGATTTAGGGAAGAGTTTTATTTCGTATCCAATTCTTTAGAATTCTAATACGCAATGCAAAATTTGCATTCGTGAACAGCGGCAGGCCTTAGCCGTAATCTACCATTATAGAACATTTCAATAATAAGATATGTTTGAATCTCTTGACCGTAAAAACAGGCTCTTTCGGTTTCATCAAGGTGTTGCCCAGCAAGATACGCCGATGCCCGCCACTAACCCAATAAATTTCCAGATTATAGGAATTAATTGGATTATTTCCAATTATGGATTGATAACTCCGTTTATATTTGAATCATGAACATAAACCTACACACCAAGTAACATAAAAAATCTGACAAAAACTGCGGCTTCGATTGCATTCACAAGCCACTTTTCTACGATTAATTTCAGTGTATTAAGGATTGATATATTTGCTTGTCATTTACAAGCCACTTGAAGACGAACAAACGGACAATAGAATGTGAGAGTATAAAAAAATGGTACCATAATTTTCATCTAACAATGAGGCAATCATATCTTCATAAATTTAGTTTTCTATTATTTAACTCTATGCTATTCCATGCTGATCCTCAGGGGTCAACGATTAGTTTATGATGTCTTCCCATTCAACGTCTGTGTCTAAACAGAACAGATTGTAACTAAGGAAAATACTACTTGACTCGATGAAAACCTTTTCTGTACTATTATCATAATATTTTACCCTAGATTATCTACATTATGCATTAAAATTACTGTCTGTTGGGTACGTTATTGACTAGCAAGGTCAGATGTCTATAAATTCCTTTCCCAGTCCGTCCAATTGATGAACTATTTCACAGAACAAGAAATCTTGTTTTCTATGCAAAAAATCTTAATACAATTCATATTTTTCGTACAAATAACCTTTCGAGACAACAGATTCATTGTCAACTATTGAGTTTAAGATAGAAATTTTTAAGAATCCTAATTATCAGAAGATACTGCATTTCCTTCGAAATAGTGTGACCTTGACCCTTAGGCTTGATTCTGCGGAGAAGTGTTGCAGAAAGAAACAAACATGCTGTCTGCTAAAACGCTCACCTTGGCAAGGTATAAAACAACCTTTTTGATTTATCTCAGGGTATAATATTCTAAAAGGATCTATAAATTTGTATTCGATTCATATACTCCACAGCTGAAACGATTCTAGAACCGGTAACCTATTCATGTAGTGTAATGCATGATGAAACTTCAACTTTTAGTTCAAGTTCAATAAAGAATTGCCGTTGTGACCGATGTTAGCTTACAAGTAGACTGACATTCACATACTCGTTGTAGTTCTAGTAGTAAGGTTAATATGCATCATTAATGTTTAGACTTAGAAAAACTTATACCTAGGCCTACCCAGTACAGTAGTTTCACTTTTAGGAATAAGATGAAGATGTTCCATCTAACATCAGTGACAGTTACAAACCAAAACTCATAGCATGCACATATTTTATGTTTCAAAATCAATTAGTTGACAAATAAGCACAACTTCATTGTATCTATATTATTTTAGCGAGCATTAGTCACAACATACCAAAAATATAAATACAGGTGCTCATTTTGCTTAATAAGCCAGTTGATTTTGTTATTTTCTTTGTTGTGACTTTCATCTTCCATGTTTAGATGTGCTACCAAACCAGCCTTTTTGGGAACAGTTGCTACCCGATTGACTCACACTTTGCCAGATCTTCCCTATGATTATAATGCCTTGGAGCCCTACATCTCAGCTGACATTATGAAGTTACATCACAGTAAACATCATAACACATATGTCACCAACTTAAATATTGCAGAAGAGAAACTAGCTGAAGCTGTTGCAAAAAGTAAGTTTTGAGTTCTGAACAAAAGGTCTGTGTAGAACTGTTTTGAAATTTATTTTGATAATAGTGATTAGGGTGACCTGGCACTGGCTAGATTAGAGATTATAATAGTGTAACTGTGACCCACTCCCAATGTCTCCTTAATTGCACCAATTGCACTAATCAAAAATTCAAACAAGTCTGACTTTTGTGACTAATATTTACGAAATGATCATCATGTTATTCAAAATTTGAAATACTTCCATCATCCCATTCCCTGCATACTTCCTTGTTTCAATGTTTCTTGAGCAAGCAAGACATGTTTTAAATTTTTCAGATGACGTAAACACATGTATTAATCTTCAACCTGCCTTAAAGTTCAATGGAGGAGGTCATATTAATCATTCTATATTCTGGGAAGTTCTCAGTCCAAATGGGGGTGGAGAACCATCTGGAGATCTTAAAGAAACCATAAAACGAGATTTTGGATCATTTGAAAATATGAAGAAAGAGTTATCAGGAGCTGCAGTTGGGGTACAAGGTTCTGGATGGAGTTGGCTTGGTTTTAATCCTAACAGTGGAAGGCTCCGTGTTGCTGTTTGTGCTAATCAAGATCCATTACAAGCCACTACAGGTTTGTATGAGAATCTAATCTTCCATTTTATACCATTATATGTGCACTTGTCATACCAAATCTGTGGTTTGAGGACAGTGGCGGAACAGTAGGGTCAGGGGAAAAAATCTCATAACTAGGTTAGAAATTCGAGCAACCCCCTCGGATGTAAACCTGGCTCTGCCGCTTCTTGAGGACTTATAAGCCATCTTGATCATCTGAGGTGTAGGAGTGTGACATCAAAACTTTCATTGATAAACTTATGATCATTTCACAGGCCAAACAACTTCTGTTGCATTATTTTAGAATCACATAATTTTAAATCAGACATGTTCTTCCTAATATTTCAATTCAGTTAACGCAGGTATTTCTTTGCTTTCAGGTTTAATTCCATTATTTGGTATTGATGTCTGGGAACATGCCTATTATTTACAGTATAAGAATGTGCGACCCGATTATGTACAGGCTATTTTTAATATTGCTAATTGGAAAAATGTAGCTGACAGACTTGCAGATGCCAAAGAAGGTTCATGAGCTGAGATAAGATTTTAGAATTCCATTTTTTTTTGGATAAAAGACAAAATGAACTCTGAAACCCTGATGCGTTAAATCTTGGGATTGTATATAAATGTACTGCTATATTAATGTTTAAATAATATATCCAGACTCAAATTTAGTTCTTTTATTGATTTTCAGTAATTACTTGTTTTTATGTTCCTGTTAAAGCTGAATGGTCAGATAATTAAAAGATTTCCTTCCATTTCTTAAAGGTCTATTCTAGTTATGAGTAAAATGCCTTATACTGAAATTGTTATCGTTTTGATTATACATATTCTGTAAGCTATTTGCTTTCATACAGATTACAGTAATTAAGTAATGAGGGAAATATTTCACCCTGTATTTACATCAGATAGATTGTGTTGATTTGAGTAATTGATATAGCTACCAAATTCAATTAAGGCACTTTACATCATTTCTATTGTAATTTCAAATGATAGTTAACCAATGCTGATTTATGTGGTGACACAATAATTTTGTTTCGAAGAATTGATTTTGTCTGATTTTATGAAATAAAGAAATCAAGTCAAAATAATGTGTTGTACCAGATAGATAGATTGCCATGGTAGCCAACTTCTGAAAACTAAAAGGAATTGTAACAAGGTTTTCTTAACTTTTTTTTGGATTGATGACAATGATAGTTCCATTTTGATATTTTAGTCATGCATAAGTAGTTTTGTGATTCCATTAATAATATCTATGAGCCTTGATATTTAACAAAATATCGTACGTCAAAAAGTCAATTCGATTCTCTAATGCGTAGAAGGGAGGCAATCGAATGTGATGTAGGAAACACAATTGGTGAAGACTGAAATATTGCTTTATTGAAACAAAAACTCGAAACAAAATAGAACCATCTATTTCATGGAATGTTTATATAATGGAATCACATATTCAAATTGGATAGTCGGTCAATAAGTAAGGTAAACTTGAGATTTTCAAAGCAATTATTTTGCTTGATACTAAACAGTTTTAGTTGAAGTTAAATTGATTGACATACTTCTTGAAAACATATATTTAACAGAATGTAATATCCTGGACACTAATTGTGATTAAACCCCTTTTAAAAACTAGGAAGTCAGATGAGAAAGCTCAGTCTGGAATAAATATATATTAGAGTTCAGAACTCGACTGATAGCATTTCAAATTAAGGCAAATCTGTCTGAAGACAAAATGAATTCTACATTCTCTGGGGTTTGGCATTGTTGCATACTTGCGATTGAGGTCTAGTTACCTCTTTACCATACTTTCACATACTTCAGTTAGTTAAAAGTAAGGATTATGGAGACCTAATAACATAATCAAGTATTAAATGGATAGAGTATTCAATATGAAAAGAGTATTAACTACAGAGCAAAAATATCAACCTTACTATTCTTTGGTTAATTTGAAAATATCACAAAAAAATATAAACAAATAATAAAGAACAAATATAGCACTAATGCTCAGTTCACACCAACGGCGCTTTAAAGCGGCGTACCAAAGCACAAAGCTCGACTAAAGCGCCAGGGTCATAATAGATCGTTTGAAAGCTTTGAGCAAAGCTGGATATTCGGCAAGAGCGCCAAAAAATTTTAAACTGTTTAAAAATTTTGGGCGCTCTGTCACGAATTGATTAAAGTGCCGAGAACGTATCAAAGCGTAACAAAGTTCAGCAAAGCTTGACTCAAAGCGTAGGAAAGCTTAACAGAGCTTTATTCAAAGCGGGGACCCCAGTCTTCACGGTCTGTCACCACTTGATCAAAAGCGGCATGAAATCGGCCATTTCGAAATTTTCAAATGCGTAACAGAGCTTAACAATGCACAACAGAGCTTGATAATCGTATCAGAGCGTGATTTAAAGCGTCATAACCGCATCAAAGCTTAATAAAGCTTATCAAAGAGTGATTTAAAGCGTAGCAAGGCCTGATCAAATCGGGAAATAATTCGTCCCCAAAGCGTAACCAATTCGCATCAGAGCTTATCAGAGCGTAACATTACTTAGGAGATCGTGATATTTTTGGAAAAGTAAACAAAAAATGCTGGCGCTTTGCTCGCCGATTTAAAGCGCGTTGGTGTAAACTAGGCATAAATGAATCAAAATAAAAAGAAAATATATAATGACTAGAAAACACTATCAATTAAAACTTAATATTAAAGTCCATGGTTTGGCATTTTCTGGGATTTGGGACTTTATTATGAACAGTAAACAGTCCTCAAAAGAACTACTAGAACTGTACAAAATAGCATATTCCTTCAAACAAAACCTAATAAAGACATTTCACTTATTATTTTGCTCAAAAGCTTGTTTTCTCTCTGAAAATTGAGGGATCCTTAATTTGAACCTTTTGTTGATATAGTCTCGGACACCCAGACATATTTCATTGCAGCTGTGTGTAGACAAAGTAGAACAGGATGATGAGTCTTTGATGTAGTCAATAACCAATCTTCAAACACAAATAATTATGAATAAATATGGTTAAGGCTCAACAACCTGTGAATAATATAACCTATTAACTATTAGCTGAAGAATTCCTGTTTCTGAGATTGAGGTACAATTGACCTTTGAAAATGACCAACCATGCCTAAAATGACTATTTTTTTCCAATATTTATGTATAATATTCTAAACATTTGCTTTACCAGTCAATTTTAGTTAATTCAAATGTGATTCACATTTTTGAATGAAGTTTTAACATTTGATTGTCCATCGATTCAACAAAAAGCATACAGACATTGTGGAAATCCAAACTGTTTTTTTTTCTTCTTCTTTTTACATACCAGTACTCAATGCAGGCAAATGTTCCCCCAGACATAAACCAGACATCTGATTTAAATTCTGCAAGTGATAATGATATTTAGTTCTATCACTTGGTAATGCAAATTTAAAGTTAAGTATGTCAATATGCTATTTTAATTATCCCATTGTATATCATCTTCACAATCTAAAACTATTACAAACTTTGTCTTATACTTTGACTGCAACAGCCACCTTAGTTGTACCTTCGAATGCAGCAATTTGATTGCATTGTATGCAATTATGACTTATTGTTTACTTTTTGTCAAGGACTCAGATTGGCTGTATTTGTTGGCGTACAGTCCAGTCAAATTGCTATATTTAATATCTTCTGAAAGGTGGTTATTGTAGTTAAGGTACAATATAAAGTAATAGCTTGACATTGTGATGATGGTATATTTGTCAAGATATTCTTGATCAAAAAGAGTTATTCTTTTCAACAACTGGTGTGCTAATAACCTAATTATCTTTGATGATTGAAATTACACTGGACGGAATAAGATGCATCAAGACAATGTGTTGATCTAGTTTTATGCAATGTTTCAACACTTGGCTCTGATATCAACTATAATAAGTCAAAATCTTGCATAAAACCAAAAAAAGGTGATTTTTGTTCAAAATAATGTAATTGTGCAAGCTTTTTTGCCAAAAAATACTTGACACTATTTTTTTTTATTATAAAAGTCTATTATGTACTCTAATTTTAAACACCGATGTCTGTGACCAACACTCCAATGATATTTCTGACACTCCACATTGCAATATCGCGATAACTTACACGCCCCACAGTATTTAATAGTATTACCAGTTATATCCTTACGACATTTTGGTGAGGAGCAATACTGTTTCACAGGGTCAAATTCCAATCTCGATTCCAGTCTTTTTTTTGCTGTGATGGCACCTTCTTTACTCAGGCATGGCCATTTTCCAGCACGAATGATATTCTTTATTTCAAGGGCTTCAGATTCATATCCACCACCCCATGTTTCTAATTCATAAAGAATTTGAGATTTCTTGATCGCTTGTCGGACATTCCGATCTCCATAGTTGACCATAGTTTGCAGAATTCCTAGTATTTCAAACACTGGAGTTTCATGATCTATATCAGCCAATAAAGATAACAATCCTTTACGATAGTAAATCTCTGTTATCTGACGAGTTCCCACAGTTAAAAACAGACTTAATATCTGTATTACTCTAATATTAGTCTCACTACTCTCTCTCAGTTTCAGGCTCTTGAAAAATAATGGTATCAAGGTGGCCCTGTGGTATACCACACGTTTGATAACATTCACGTTGTTCATAATAGTGTATAATAAATCCAGATAAGGATACAGATGTTTTTGTCTGTGTGTTTCACAACAAATGAATGTAGTCTGTCTAATAACATGGATTAGTTCTTCGATACCTATCTCCCCTGCAATTGAATAAAGAAAACAAGCTTATTATCTCCCTTGTTCGTTAACTTCACCAGTAACCAAATGATAAAGCCATAATTAAAGCTAAAGTGCTTTCATAAAAGTTAATAATAATTAAGCCTGTGTGTCTATTGGTTTGCTATTGTTAAAGACATGGACACCACCTACTTGTTCATCAAGTATCAAGTCTGCTAGGAGCAAATATAGCACAGAAATGGATGACAGCTTTCATAGTTTTTTTTCACAAACTGATGAATTTCGGGTAATTTAAGCACAATGACTTTAAGGCTTAACCTGCTACAGGAAATATTCATTTATTACTCACTATTTACTAGTAGTGATTTTCAACCCCTCTCAGGATCCTTGATAAATTGCATTACCCCACTTCCCCTTTAAACCCTTACTATTACCCATCTTCCCCCTATAAATCCTTACTTTTTCGTGATTTTCTATGTATTTTTTAGGTTGAAAACCCCTGCATTAATATAATGTCAATACATAAAACTGAATATTACCTAAACATTGTATAAGTTTGACATAATTAATTCTATGGGATGTATTACGATTGAATCTGATGCTAGATAGGTGCTCCATAATGTCTTCTACATCACTCATATCACCAAACTGTATGGTTCTTACAATATCACAAACATAGTCTTCTATTTTCTGACTTAATAGTGCTGAATGTAATACCATAATAACAGTACACTCACTCAGAATGCATTACCTTTTAAACACAACACATTACATATTTCCGGAATTAATTTGGTTTGATAAAATACATCACTGACCCACGAATAGAAAATACAATAACAGAATCTAAGAGAACCTCTCTTCAAAATGTGAATAGAAAATATATTTTTACTGAAAGTAATATTCTTCTTTTGAAGATTGTTACAGATACTGGCAATTGATCTCTATCAGCTTTCAAAGCTGGTTTCTTTCAGGTTTAATATTTGCATTATCACAGAGAAATATAAAGGATAGCTTGCCAGGCAAGACAATATACGCCCACTGGCAGCTTTGATTTTAAATAAAAATATTTAGCAGTACAGTAACAATCACCAGTATGAATACTGAATAATATTGAGTATGAGTTATTGCCCTTGTTCTTGAACACGTGTTCAATTTTTAGTTCTTGAAAACTCTAGAAGGCAAATATTCAATCTTCAGCGCAGGACAGAATATTAAAACCAAATTTTGTCAAAATCCAGCAAAAATCATGCCTTTTAGTGTTTACAGGCTAAAAATTGAATGCATTTCAAGAACAAGGGCAATAACTCATACTAAATATTTTTCGATTCTTCTGATTTTCGATAGGGTTCATCCTTGGGTGATTACTAACACTCACACCAAGTTTCGTCAAAATCTGTCAAGAATTGTGCCTTCTAGAGTGTTTACGAGCAATTGTGGACGGACCGACGGACATGGGTGACAGCAATATATGCCCCCCATTTCATGTGGGCGTATAAAAATAAACAACTTACCACTTTTGTTATTATTTGCATAAGTTTTTATGTCTTCTTTCTTTTCCTGTTTTGTATTTGTCTCTTCTTTTGTATTTTTTACCTCTATTGTATTTTTTACCTCTTTTGTATTGTTTTCATCTTTAGTATTTTTCTCTTTTTTTGCTTTCTTTTGATCAGCTTTTGAGGCATCTGAAATACAACTTATGTTAAATATCAGACAGGTTCATCATTTGTACCTTAGTGTCAGAAACACAAATTTTTTTAGCTAAGCTAATCAGGAATAGTGTTCAATAGTTTCGAAATTTGAGTCTAGAACTGACATAAGGAAATACAAAGTGAAATTCCTTGTTTGAGGTATTTTTGAAGGAATTATCTGTATGCAATTTTTGCACATTTCTAGTACTTCTGAAGACTATTCACTTTATATTCAACACCCAAATCAAATCCCAAAAATGGAGAACCTTTAAGGCATTTGTAGTAAATGAACAAAAAGAGAGTAACTTAAAATACAAAATACCACTAAAACATACCTTTGCTTGCATCTGCCATTATATTATCTTTCTTGGACTCTTCTAATGGTTTTCCCTTCACTTTATTGTTGGTTCTAGAGACCTCCACTTCTTTGGAAGTAGTTTTACTCTCTGATACCTTTTCCAAATCCTTCTTAGGCTCTGCCATTTTAATCTGAGGTCTGTCTGTTAAAAAGAAATGAGGCAACTCAGAATATCCAATTCAATTTCAAAGGATTTTAATGAACTTTTTAATCCAATCAGCATTGGCTTAAATATTGACTAACAATACGTAACAATTTCTTTTTCTCCTGACATTTTTTGTTACTTTTGTCTGTCAAAAATCATATTCCTCTACTTTGGAATTTGCCAGTTCCAGTTCATGCAAATATTAATGTCATAAGGATTGCATAGAACTTTTTAAAATTATAATGAAGGAAAAAAAATAAGGGAAATTTTTATCTAATTTTGATCAGAATGGTATAGATATATGTGTAGATGTACCTTGACGATATGGAACTGGATTACCAAGTTTCTTACGATAAGACCAGCCATCCTGTACTAATGCTACATCTGATAAATATACATCTGGTCTGAAATAGAATACAGTTATGTATGAATTCTGTTCTGCTTCCATCATTTGACAAAGTATGCAAAAACAGATAAGCTTTCTTTAAATGGCTAAACCAGTTTTTTTAAAGAGTTTTTGTGGTCTTGATCGTAAAATACATAATTCTTCATGCCAACACGAAGAGGAGGATGCCCCTTGCATTTCTTGAAAGCTTCAACATGAAAAATCGAAGCTTTAAGCGATTGTTATTTTCATTTCTCATTATTGTGATTGTGATATTGATAATTTACATGTAACAGCCGGAGAAGCAAAGAAACAAGGTTAATTTTTATCTTTCTGATCGAAAATTCGTCGGCATTTGTAGTCTCTGAATTCCTTTCCCAGACGCTAAGAAACCATCTAGCGAGAAAACACCGACCACAATTATAACAGGAAACTTCAAATTTGATGAAATTAGCCTAAATTCACTCCAAAACTTGATAGCTAATGTGCATGAGTACCTTAATTTAGAACCACTTTAATCAACATAACTAAACTTGATTTCTGTTCTGTTCTTGGTCTGGATCATAGATTCAATGTTTCTTTTTTCAAATACAGGTTCAATCTCTTGAAAACCAACTGACTCAACATATTTATGTCAAAGCAAATTGAGTCCAACAAAGTTTATGAATATAATTTTGATGTCACAGTTGCACAGTCAACGCTGGTCTTAAACTGTGCCTTAATTTTTTCCTTCTCAGGTATCTTTTATTCTATCAAGCAAACTTACAATGGTCCAACTGAAGGTTTTTTATTATATTTCTTTAACCTGATAACACTATATTCTCCTGCAGTTCCTATCATAAAGTTCTCATATTTCATTGGTAAAAGAAAATCTGAAATTGAAGACAAAGATAGAGAACCACAGCCATATACGCCCACCGGCATGCAGATGGTAAATATTAAAGATTTTGGGGCAAGGGCAATAAATCTGCTTCTTACGGTCGAAAATAGCTCAAATTCGAACTTGATCTTCGTTTTGTGAATATGAATACACATACACATCAAAAACTCTAGTTTTTAGAGCGTTTACAAGCAAATGTTGACGGGCGGACAGACCGACGGACGGAGTGTTTACGAGCAATTGATGTTGATAGAAGCACTTACTGTATAGAGTGATTAACTCCTCAAAACTGACATAAGAGGCCTAAATCTTGAAAAAGCCTTAAATTTAATTAGAAGTAAACTAAACTTTCTTAAACCTTTCGATTTAGGTCCAATAACATCCATTTTAAGTTTCATCAAAATTGGTTGAAAACTGAGAGAGTAGTAGCATATTCAAGATTTTGGGGCAAGGGCAATAACTCTGCTTCTAACGGTCAAAAATAGCTCAAATTCGAACTTGATCTTCGTTTTATGACTAAGTATACACATACCGAATTTCATTTGATTCCATCAAAAAGTCTAGTTTTTAGAGTGTTAAAAGCAAATGTTGACGGGCAGACGGACCGACGGACGGAGTGTTTACGAGCAATTGATGTTGATAGAAGCACTTACTGTATAGAGGTTAAAGGGCGATAACACCTTAAAACTAACGTAAGAGGCCTAAATCAACAAAAAGCCTTAAATTTAATCAGAAGTAAACTAAACTTTCTCAAACCATTCGATTTAGGTCCAATAACATCCATTTTAAGTTTCAAAAAAATCGGTTGAAAACTAAGAGAGTAATAGCATATTCAAGATTTTGGGGCAAGGGCAATAACTCTGCTTCTAACGGTCGAAAATAGCTCAAATTCGAACTTGATCTTCGTTTTATGAATATATATACACATACCGAATTTCATTTTATTCCATCAAAATTATAGTTTTTAGAGCGTTTACAAGCTAATGTCGATAGACGGACAGACAGGGGTGCCGACAATATACGTCCACATAGAGAGATGTGGGCGTATAAAAAGTCTATGACTGTACTTACTGGGATAGCTGGTTTGTCCGTCTGATAACACTAATTTATAATAATAATTATTGGAATTTCGTGGTGAGGATTCTCTCATCATTTTCTACAATAGAAAAAAGAATATTTATAACCTAATTGCACCTGAGAAAAATCAAAGCGTTCTGTTGAAAAACCTGTTAAAGGATTAAAAACTTTTCATCATTTATATGTTAATGGTGATTGTTAGTAAAATCTTTGTCAGTATGGGAAAGTCTGGTAATCTTTTCTGATTATTCCGTTACATCAAGAGGAGACAATAAATTTGAATGATCAAATTAGGATCTATATGATTTTACTTTTTTAAAGATATCTTGTAAATATGTAGCCTATTCTATGGTTACGTCGAGTGTTATGTCGAGTGTTGTTAATTCCCTTTATTTCAATAATTTGTGTAGACGAGTTAACGCGAGATTGTAGATGAGTTAACTCGAGATTGTAGACGAGTTAACTCGAGATTGTGGACGAGTTAACTCAAGATTGTGGACGAGTTAACTCAGTTTATAGACGAGTTAACTCAGTTTATAGACAAGTTAACTCAGTTTGTTGACGAGTTAACTGTAGATGAGTTGACTGAACACCAAGACAAGAGGTGAGGCCAAAGTAGAAGGCCTAGTAGAAAGGATCCTCATGAACCAAAGTTAATTGATATCCTTGCAAAAATGGTTGTTTTTTGCTTTCTTTTCTCATCTTGCTTTAACTAAAATGTCCTGAAGATCCTGCTATAAAAAATGTCAAAATCATACCAGAACTTGTACTTCTGGTTTTTCTGGTTTCTCTCCATTTATTATGTCCTGAAAAGATGGAATTATGAGTTAGTTATTGTAACCAGCAGAGCATTGGGGAATAAACTGGATTGGGCCGAAATTTGCAGCTCCAACAAGGTAGATTTGACAATGAAGTGTTTGAAAATGTCTTGAAAAATTGAGACAGTGAAATGAATATTATCCACTTCCACCGCATTGTTTACATTTCGTTACCTGAGACCCAGACTGTCCACTTTTGTGAAAAATTGAGTTAGCATATCAAAAAAGCAGATAAGAGCCCATGTTCTATGTCCATAATAAATCTCAGACTTTAATATCATTTTTAATGAAATTTTCAATTCTACAAATCCCACTTTTCTATTTTTTGTTAGGACCATATGTGTCTTTTTATCCAATTAGGTTTCAGATTGAGATCACATGACTTGGAGATAAAACATAATGGATCTGAGCCTTTATTGAAGGTCATATGAAAAGAAGCTACAAGTGGGTAGTTTCAGACTTCTTGTATTTCACTTAAATTCAGATTAGTTTATATTTGAATGAAAATATATGCGTGGGGCATTTAGTTGGCTTTAGACAGCTTTGGTATGTCAATTTGTGGATATAGAACAGTCTGGTTCATGATCTCCAACCCTAAGTTTATTTTTTACCACTAAATGGGGGCTTACTAGCAATAGTCGACTCTCTCTTTCATATATACACTATTATAGAGAGAGTCGACTATTGGTAGAAACAGATGCCTGTGCTTACTAGATATAAAAGTAATGATATTTAGTAAATTTAGACCAGTAATAACAATTATGCAAAGTTTTGCTTAGTTCCAATGAAATGCTAAAAAGATCTCTGGCATTGAAACTTGGAACTCAATTTTCTCGAAAACTACTTTTGTGTATATAAACTTCTCTGGTTCTCGGGTGACGATTTGTAACCATATAAAAATATGCAAAGACAAATTATACATGTAAAATTTCTCTTCAATATGAATGACAGCTAAAGGCCCATGTAGAAATAAATGAAAGGGAAATTTTGGATTGCAACCTCGATCGCGCCTTTTGTCAGATGTGGTTCCATCGTGTAGACTATAAGAATATTGAAATTTCTATCTTATTTGAAAGAGTGAAGTTTAGCACCAAAATGGCGGGAAATTTGACGGTTCCGAACAAATTTATAATCAATTCATTTTTTGACGAAGTTGTTGATCATAGACTTATATCTATGCTGTTGACTTTAACCGTAACAGACTAACGACGCCAGATAAAAAAAATAGAACAAAAATGTATATGTTTGGGTCAATGCTCTACCGTTTCGTTTTTTGATATAGCTTTATTTCAATATTTTGTAACCTTGACCCCTGACCCCGAATAGTAAACATGGCAGTATCAGTTTTGTTTTTTACTTTATATAAATCATTGGCATTAGAAATGCAAATGCGTGATTAAATTCAATGGTAATCATTAGGCTGCATAATTTCCTCTTCACGATATACTTCTATTTGTGTTAACATCAAGACATCCATCATTATAATATAAGTGGTACTGAAGCCAATTTTCGAAATGATGAATTCGTTTGATAATTGAAAATACTCTTTGTTCCCCCTATTGTACTTTGACTCATAGATTGAGTTTGGATTAACTTACATGCCATATGACTATAAATATGACAAGAAACAAGGACCCCATTTCATTTGAGACAGCTTGGTCCTGTTTCGGATCTCCTTTAAAGTTAGAATCAATATGTTTTCATTGTCTTAAACAGAAGTACCACTAATACACTAGCCTGAATTAGATGTTACATGGAAAAAAACTATGAAATCTGTTACATAAGTAGCATTGTAGTGGTACTAAAACATGCTTTGTATTTTTGGTACAGATTTGCTAGAAAATAAGGTTTGGAAATTGAAAGACTAATGACTTGAGTAGTGTTGAAATGGTTAGTGAATTTTACGCACCGGGTAATCGTCAGCAATAACCGTTTGTTACTCGGTTAATCCCGGTTAATTACTTAAAATGATAAAAGGAGTCAAAAACCGCATTTGCGGCGGTAACTCACAGTTAACTAAACTAGATTAAGTTTAAATGAGTAGCCAGGAAGATTTTGGCTAATTCCCCGCGAATTGTTTATACAAATCGACAGATACTAAACAACCCATGGAAGCGTCTGCTTCAATGTAAGATTAAGAGCGGGCCTGACAGACGGTTCAGACGGACTGGCGCCATTGTCACTCATTGCTAGTCTCTAACAGATCAAAGGTTTTTATACCAGGTTAATGAGTGTATCTCATTGAAGTCGCCGCGAATCAGATTAACTTGACTCATTGACTGAGAAGATACATTTTGTTGATTGTATCAACCAATTTTCATTTCAGGTGGTTGAAGATCAAGCAAGCCAATTGTTTTTTTTATAAAAGATAAAACAGTGTTTATTTGTGAAGTAGAAAAAGAGTCTACACCTCTGACATTGGTATTCTTAGAAGAGAAAACCATATTTTATGGTTTTATAGATAAAAAATTCTGTGACTTCACTGTTTGTGCTTATATTTGCTACTTTACAACCCAGTTTTAGAGAGTCCACATTGTTTCAATTTCAAAATGTCTGAAGTAGAAGCTGAAGATGAAGCTAAGCCTACTATGGCATGTTATAAATTAATGGTCAACTTGAGAGAATGTTTAAAAGAAAGTGATTGTTGTCAAGTAGAGCGTAAAACTCCACGTCAGTGTTTAGATAATATTAATAGTGACAATATACCTAATTATTGTAGAGAATTAAATCGTTATTTTCAAATTTGTCGTCGATCACAAATAGACACGAGACAGAGATTCAGAGGAAAGAGAAATTTTGACTGACATCAATTTTACATCTTGTATATTTTTCTAATAAATATATAAAAGTTATTTTCTTTTTATCCTAAGGCCTGAGCATATGAAATAATCTGATAGCAGTGAGCTATTGATTTAAAGGAACAGGTTTGCCATACATTTGACCAATTTTACTTTAGTCTCAGAAACAGGAATATTTTAGCTAAGCTAATCCGTGTTCAAAGCTCACTTGTATGTTAGCAACAGTCAATCAGAGTCCTTGACAGGATGTCTGCAAACAATAAGCCACCAGTCTCATTTATCTGTACCAGTTTTAGCAAATAAAGACCAACAATGCCATGCAATGGCAATAAAAGAAAAATAAACCTAGTCTCTTGATTAACAACTGTTTTTAACAGTATTTGGCAGAAGCAATCTAAGATTATTTTCCCTTCCAAATGATTAAGCGCTATTTCCATTTTATTTCAATTGATTTTAAAAATAAAGCACACTTAAAAGCGTTATTATGTTATACAAAACAAGAAATGACCTGACCCTATCATATTTATAATGTGTTGTTTTACAGTTAAATGATTTACTACAAACATCACAATTACAAAGCCTTGTTTTCAGTTTTATATTATTTTATAGTTTTTACCACAAAGTCATAATAAAGGGCCTTCCAATATACAATAAAATCTTTGTATCCTTTATTTTCAGTAACAGGTAGCTATTCATTTTAAGTTTTGTTAGTTTGTGAATACAACTTGTCAGTATAGGAAGTACTAACAATTACTGGTATTTCTTCCTAACAATGGTTGATAGGTGTTCTCTGTGTATTATATTCATAAAGTAATTATACTTCTGAACAATGAAATTAGTAATGGTCCTGTGTGACTTAAAGGAATTCCAATCCAAATCCCCTTTCTTTATAATGACAAGCTTTAAAGCAAACATCACAGTTAGCCTACTGTGGATGTCGTTTCGTAAATGTCGCAATTTAAGTGCTTAAAAAGGCCAGCATTGACTATGCATTGCATTGCTGATTATGCTATTTCAAGGACACCACCATTTATAACCAAGGGCGTAGTTAACCCATTACCAATCCAGAATATAATAGATCATAAAAAAATATTCTGAAACCTTTGGCTTTTGATTGTTATTTTCTGCACCTATAAATCCACTTTTCAATCAAAGTATTAAATCAGGCTTGTCATTTTCTTTATATATAAATAAATGTATTTGTAGTTCTTATGTACGCATTGTAAAACAGTACTGGAACATAAAGAGAATTTTCGTGGCGTGTTATCGATTGAACCATTAAACTATTTCATGTTATAGAGCAAAATTTAAAGGGATAGTTTAACCAATGACATAGTCGCCCATAAGCCAATATAATAAAGAGATATTTGTATTTAACAAAAGAAATGGAAATGTTAAAGAAAACAGGTTTTATATTTACCCTAGTTGCGGATCGTATATAATTATCCTAGTTGTGAATCTTGCTTAGGCCTACTTACCCTAGTTGTGATGTGTATACCCAACATCTTGTAAAATTAACCCCGTTAGTGGATATTGTATATTTGATCTATTTGTGAATCCTGCATGTATACTTACCCATTGTCCCTGTATGCTGGTTCTAGTGTAGACTATAACCATGTATATTTGCCTAAGTAGTGCATCTTGTTTACCTGATCCTAAATCGAATTCAAATCACTGTCTGCTCACCAAACTATATTTGAACTCGATTTCTATTAAACTTACGTATATACCGCCATGAACAACATCTGTTTTCTTGGTCCAAGTCTCAAAACTCTGAATTTGATCAAATCATTTATTAAAAGCCAACATAGCCTCCAATTGACCAGCCCGGCTGTCTTTGTCTGTAGCTTCATTTGTGCTTGTGGGCATACAGAATTCTTGGTGATGATGACTCCTGTCTCTCTATTTGCACATTTTCCTTCATATATTTATATACATAATCAATCGTGCTAACTATCAAACTACTTTATTGTTAAATTATTATATAATATTTATCTTATATTATGTATTTATTTTTCTATTCATTTATATTTTCTGTATTTTGATACATTGTATTTGGTGACGGATTAGCATAAGCCTCGGCCTGTTTCCGGAACCCTATTTATATTCTGTAAAAATTATATGTACAATAGAAATAAAATACTGTTTAAATCAATATTGTTTATCAGGATATGCCATATGACCAGAACCCCTCCCAACTTTCAAATGTACTACCTTTTAACACAGGGAAAGGCCACTTCTAAGACCACCCTGGAAATCCTGTAGCCCCTTACTCACCCTTTAACCTTCTGATTCACAAATCGTTACTGATAAGAATCAATCAATTCTAGATTTTGTAAATATCCAAAGCCATCTTTGATTTTTTGCGAGACGTTTAACCAGGAAAATAAAATTGCAGAGTATAAGGTACTTAGCATTACCTAGGTTATACTAATAGATAATATTCTAGAATTCAGAGGTATTAAAAATTGCCATTGTGCCAAGTACAGCTGGTGTTTTTATGGTTGTTTGTATACTTTGGATTTTGGATTGTTGTATTGAGTTTGAGTAACAACCATGAATATTTATTGATATCACTGATCATGGTGGACTTATATTGGATTAAAGAAATTAGTTTATTGTTTACAACTGAAGAAAGCATGTGAAACAATAATAATATATATTCTATAACAAGATTACTATGTACATATATATTCGGTATTTGTTATTATTGTCCTATAGGGCGATATCCAGAGAGTTCAATATTAAAAACTGTGGAAATGACTTTTAATACGGTTTAAAAATAAAAAAAAAACACCTGAATGATCAATCAGTGAAAATATCAAAACAAAGGCGTGGAATTTTACTTTCACCAAAAGGAACTCTTTTAATTTTTCTTTCCCTTGCATAGTAAAACAAATATCGCATAGAGTGACAACATGATTCAATTTTTTGTTTTAATTTTTCCAGTAAAACTTGCAAACTGTGGCCAAATTATGTTAAGTATAAAAACTTAAAACCAAATTTTAGTTACCTAATGAGATAACTTCTTTTATCATATTTCTTACAGTTATGTGCATTTGGAATCTAATAGATCTTTAACAATTGGGCATAAAACTCAATTTCAGTGTTCAGCTAGCCTCTCAATCTTTACTTATTGCTGTGTTTGAATGATAATCTCGCCAATAAGTAATATTTTATGTGTTTTATATTGTATTCTTTCTACATTAAACATAAATATACTTCATTGTTCGTTTTTTCTTTCGTCATTAAGCCATAAACCCACCAGGTACAATCACGTTTCTTTTGGAAACGATCTGGACAAAAGGACATTACAAATATTAGAGACACATTAAGCCAAACCTGTGCCATTTACCTACTGCTATACATTCTATACAGACTAATAGGAATCTTTTTCTCTTTACCATTGTCAAATACAAATTTACAAGTCGGTTAGTCTCACCAAGGTTTTTCAGCCGAAAGAATTATAGCTGTCTCTGTTTCTGAGTTTGTGTCAATCGTGAGATGGATAATCTTCCGAAACAGTGATATTTCCACAGAGGATTCCAGTGATTAAGCGAAACATCTTGGAGAAATTATAAAATTTAAGTGAGCATTATGGATAAGTCTTGAAAAAATGAGCAAACTATCAATAAAAAATTGTGAAAATATTTAAAATGTGTAGAGATTAACAATTGAGATTATCATAATCAAGATACCGAAAATGATGGTGACTGACACAATATCTAAATGTGTTTTTGGACTTTTTCTTGTTTGTACAGTTGTCCAAGGTAAGATTGCAATACTTCAAGATATATAGATGTTACTCATATACATACATCCCCAGATGTTGGCAATTGTTTTTGTGGATACTCTATTTCTGATATGTATTTGATCCCTTGTGATTTATATCTTATCAGAACATTTGCCTACGACATTGGATTTCTTTCGGAGAATCCACATAGCTTATATTCTTTGTAATACGGTATTTGCACATGTTAAGTCGATATTCCTTTGTTTCATATTTGGTATTTTGGCTTGACGTATACGACGTTCCTTTTGAAGGGCCACAATGCTATTATCTATAAATAATGATCTTTAATGGTATTTGGGCTTGTTGCACGACATTGCTTTTTGGTAGACCATGATTAAAGTTCTATAGGTAGTTTTAACCATGCTCCTTGATTCAAGGTATCATCTAACATCTGATAAACAACTGACAGCTCAAGATGTTGTCATACGGATCAAGAAGGCTAAAACTATGCGAAAGTCAAGTTTCATTTTGAGATTACAGACTTCAGATTGAGAAAATCCCATCACTTGATAATTGTGACACATCTTGTTTTCAACAGGTTTAAAAGGAGTATCAACATGCTATGGCCCGACCTCACTACCCTGTACTTCACCAACACTGATTTGTGGGGATGGTGAAGTCATTTCAGTAGCAACAGGAATATATGGTCAGAAGGCAGCATCTGATAATTGTCCTTCTGGTGGTAATATATGTACCGCTAACGCCACCTGCTGTACATTTCTAAAGACAAAAGAACTACGAGAAAAAATGTCACCAGAATTAATCAAATCTGTACAACAGAATTGTACATACCAACAATCATGTACCCTGAATATACCTTATACCAGTTCCCAGGATTACCACTTCACTTACTTCTCATATCATTGTATCGAAGGTATGTTTAAAAATTCCAATTCAATCTATGACAGACTATCCCATCAATAAGATAAAAAGTGATAATTTCACTTAAGATGAAGTGAGAAATGAAATGAAATGAATGGAGTTTTACGTCCTACTTTTCTGCACCTTGTGGGCTAATGAAGACGGGCAACGCCATGCAGGGTGTCATGAGGGAAATTTTGCCAGGACAGCGGCATTAGTCGATTTCCAACTGTCGGGGGATCTTTAACGTGCACAGCCTGTAGCACACGGGGCCTCGGTTTATTGTCCCATCCGAACGACTAGACGCTTTTTCCATGTCAGCCCCTCTTACCTGCATCACTGACAGGAGGAAAAGATGAAGTGAGGACACTAACTAAATGCTATAGGATCGTTGAGTTTGATGTAGGTGTTCTGTTGATTTTCGCATCTGGACAACAGGATGTTTGATATTAGTGTCATGCCAAAAGACTTTGAATTTGAATGGTGTAAAGGCACTACCGCCATAAAGGCGATATAGTCTGATTGAAACTGGACGATTCAGTCTAATCAAAATAAGACCAAACTTTCGTTCCGGTTTTATTTCCATTATAGGCTTTTCAGTTAGGGTCTAATGACTGTCCTCTTTGACGTTCGTCAATTTAACGCGGTGACGCGGTGTTTATAAGGTTTAGGTCAAAACGTTAATATGCCGAACGTTCAAAAGGACTGTCGTTAGATCTTGACTGAAGTGGCTATATTTAAAATTAAAGCTAATAAAAATTGGAACGAAAGTTTGATCTAATTTTAATTAGACTGTGGGACGATTAAGGCATTTGTATTTCAAATTGTGTTAAACGTGTATCCACAATGCCCAAAAGATCACAATGAATGAGTGGAAGAGTCAAGTGGAACGACGTCATCTCTGTTGGCTACAGTCTCGATGTGACAAACCTCTAGTCCATAACTTTGTGCGAAACAAGCATATTCAATTTTATCTTTTAGCTGCGGCGGTTTTGAGTCTTATGTGCAAAGATACAGTTTCTGCAAATAGCAAATCCTATATGTTTTATTTCGGAAAACAAAGAAGTGACAAGCTTGCCGTAAATTGTTCCTGTGAGCTACAGTCTTCCTCAGATGTGACTATGTCTACACGTTATGTCCATCTATCACCACAGACGTGTCCAAGCTTTCAGTCAACGCTTTCAAGATTCAATTTATCAACTTGTAACGCAACTCATGGCTTTGTTAGAGAATACAAATTCGTTGACCACTTTTTACCCCCAGTGGTTCTATCAGTAGAAAATCTGCTGGCGAGAGATGATGACATATTTTGGGTGGAGTTCTACAGTAGAGAAAGTGAGTATTTATGCCAGTAACCTGTTCTAAGATCGAATTATTCTTGCCGTCCTCGCAATAAATACACTATATTAAATAACAAAATTTCAAATGAGTCAACGCTGATAAGTCAATACATAATCTAATGTTTCCTATTTATTTAACACCAAAACAAATCAGACAGTCATCCCAATTCTCTCTTTTTCAGGAAAGCCAATTACAGTGTCGTGCTCAGGATGTGGAATTGATATTCAAGGTAATGATTTATTTATGTCCAAAGAATATGAAATAGTTTGGTCTGTACCGTTAAAATATTTTATTTTGCATTTTTATTTTAGGAGCATATCTAAACCGTTTGTGGACACTTTCAGTGGCGGAGCCAAAGGGGTGGGGGGAGGGGGTGGGATTGGGGTGGAGTGTGAAGCCACCTCGGACGTAAACCTGGGGCCTGGTTTTCGAAAGTATCTTAAGAAACGTCATAAGATATGTCTTAAGACAAATTTTAAGACTATCTTATGACTACCATACGACATGTAATAGAATATAAATCAAAGCTGTCTTACGATAGTCTTACCTGAGATGCTCTTATGACTGTCATAAGTGATAACATTTACTATAAAAAAAAATATAGGAAATAAAATTTATAGTTATTACTTACAAAATATATTATCTTATATTTATATGAAAATGAATAAAAATCGTAGTTTGATCATTTGTTTGAATTTAGCTTGTATATTTATTATACTTTTACATTCTCGTTTATTCATTATCTTACATGATGTGTTTGTTATCTAATTGTGAATACTTTTAAGATGTGAGACGTCGAGTACATGTAACAGGTCGAGAGGTGTCTTAAGATTACGATGAAATTTATGATTTATCGTAACTTAAAACACTTTCGAAAACTATGATATGTCGTAAGACCATCTTAAGACGTGTCTTAGTCGTAATATATTTTCGAAAACCAGGCCCCAGGACCCTTTGTATCGTTTCGTGACGTTAAATAATTAAGGTGGCGTGAGACGCCCGATTTCATATATTTTTTTTTATGACAACTTAATATATCATAATTTTATAAATTTAATTTTTTCAGGAGCGTGTGGCAGAACGTCTCATGTTTTACAAACCTGTTACGGGGGAGAAATGTGTTCAGAACATGAACTTAAGTGTAAGGAGGGGCAGAATATAGCTCTGACATCATCAGTTTATTTTGGTGGGAGAAGTTATAGATCTCCCGTGTGTGAATATGCTACATGTAACAGTGTAAGTAGATGTTGTTCCTTTGAAGGTGGTGATGCTCTAAGAACTTTTAATGAAGATGAACTTAATACGCTGTACGACACATGTTTGTTTAAGGAGTCGTGTACGAGCATTCCACAATATAGAAATCCAGGCAACTCAACATATATTTCCTATAAATACGACTGTATACCAGGTAAGCGTATAGCTTAAAATATAGATAAATAGATAGATGAATGAATAGATAGCTAGATAGATATATAGATAGAAAGATGCATAAATAGATGGATAGACAAATAGATAGACAGATGGATAGATAATACATATATAGATGAAAAGATAGATAAATAGATAGATAGATAGATAAAATGATAAATGGATAAATTAATAATAAGATAAAGTCAGATAAATAGATAGATGAATAAATAGATGGATAGATACATACATAGATGAATAATTAGATAGCTAGATAAATAGAGATAGATAGATAAAATAAATTAGATAAATATATGGATAGATAAATTATGGATATATTAATAGATAGATAATTAATAAATAGATAAATAGATAGATGAATAAATAGATAAATAGATAGATGAATAAATAAATAAGTGAATAGACAGTTTAAAAGATAGATATAGAGATAGCTAGATAGAAGAATCGAATAAAGGTTAAATAGACAAATAGATAGATAAATAGATAGATGGATAGTTAGATAAATAGATAGATAAATAGATAGATAAATAGATAGATAAATAGATAGATAAATAGATAGATAAATAGATAGATAAATAGATAGATAGATAGATAGATAGATAGATAGATAGATAGATAGATAAATAGATAGATAGATAGATAGATAGATAGATAGATAGATAGATAGATAGATAGATAAATAGATAGATAAATAGATAGATAAATAGATAGATGGATAGTTCAATAAAAAGATAACTAGATAAATAGATATATAAATAAATAGATGAATAAATAGATGGATGAACAGATCGATGAACAGATCGATGAATCTCTGCAGACATTCAGCAGTTTTAATAGTGATCAAGTACACTTACCACCAATAAGTCTCTTCAGTTTCTTATTTAAATTTTAGAATCAAGTATCATTGATATGATGGAAGAGGAATCGGTTAGTGGATTCACTGAAGTTTTTGTAAAATACAGCGGAAATAGAAGATCAAATGGGACAACCATAAACTGTGGTTGTGAGGTCACTAGCCCCGCCTCTACAATAACATTGGCTGTTTACCAAATTAGAATGCATCCTGACTCTTGTTGTCAGTTAAGTATGACGTCACCGGATACAAACCTTCCAGAAGGATGTACCAAACATGGGCTGAAACAGTTTCGTTCCAGAAATGTGGTTGTAACGGTGCCATTCAGAATATCGTTCTCTAAAATGGTTGCTCGACCAGAAGATAGTGTTGTTCTGCGGCTAAGTAGTGGTAAGAATCTATAATGATTTTGTGCTCTAAGTATTTATTAAATCAGCTGATAGCACTGACAATAGCTACTATTGGACATGCATTACGATTCAATATAACCCCGTAAATAATTGACCAGATTTAACGTGTGGTTTCAATGATAAGATTACCACAATCTTTATTTCTATCAGAGTGATTTCATTGTGAAATTTGCAATGAGTAAATCAATTATTTTGTTGTACCAGTTTATGAACAAAAGAGAATTTCTTCAGATAGTTTAAATGTACATGTTTATATATTATCATTACAGGGAAGGGTGTTGAATTAAACTGTGGTGGATGTCCAGAGTATGCGGTTGATCCCAGGGGTAATCTCGTTATTAACATTCTCTGATGCAGATATTACACAAATTGTGAAGGTTATATCTACGTGGAAAATATCTAATAAAGGCTGGATAAAGGGTCGTCAATTTTCGAATTGATCCTCTCCTAATTTTTGGGACCTATACCTATTCTGTACTTCTTCTGTTTACAGTCAAGTAACCTAATTTCGTGCTAATCTATTTTTCGTGCATTTCTGGAAATGATTAATAATTTACATGTGCGACCTCGCGTGACCTCTGCATTTGCTTGTTTTGATAAACATGGGTTTACTGTACAATATCAGCTAGTAGAATGAATTCAGTAGTTTCAAGCAAGGTAAAATGTATTAATGTATACTTTGACAAATAAAAAATGGCGGATTTCAGTTATTACCAAACGTCACCTTTTTTATCGGCCGAATTCCGTATAATCCCAAGCGGTAATCGGAATTCCAAGTGTCGTCTGCTAGAATATAGTCCATCGAATAATGTCACTTGATCAACTAGCATATTCCGTGTCAGCAGAAAATTTCTATGGAACACAAAGTGGGCCATATTCTTATGTTGTTTCAGTGACTTTTAGCAATAAATCACGCTACGTATCTTATTTTGTCAGTCACTATTTTTTTTTAAATCGTGGTTCTTCGAAGTAATTGACACTAGTTATAATGAATTGATATTAAAGATAAATACTAAGAGAAGTTAATTATACCACCCGGTATCCACACAACGTGTTTTTCTCGACTTATTTATAGATCAAACATTGTACACGAAAATAGGTGACGCATTCTGCCGCCATTGCCGAGTTCGTTATTCATGAAACAAACCATCTGGGGAAACATCTAAGACATAAAATTTTTTTTCCGTAATTTTAACTTTGACGAAATTCGGTTTTGAATTCGTATATACACGAAAATAGGTTACACCAGTGTACCAATATATTTTTGATAGTGCAAGATTGCCAATTATTATCACGAACATTAAACACACTGGAGTTTCGAGAATTTGATTTCCTAAACCTCAGTCAAGCTGTCAGCATTCCAGCTTCGTTTCATAGATTAGAATGATGTGTGATTTGCAATTCTATTAATTTTTATTACAGTTATCTGTGATTATCCAGACCCAACAACAACACCAGATCCAGGTTTGTAATAACTTAATTTTTTAATCAACTGCCAGCAAGTGGACTTCTTCCCTGAACCATCATCTTTACAACGTCAAGCTATTACGAATTACGTCTTATAGGAAGTTCGTAACAATGATGATTCGGGGCCCGTGGACATATACATATGTATGTGCTTTGAGACCCTCCCCCCGGGAATTGTTGTCTAGACACTATGATAGTTGAGCCACTGATTCGTAATAACTTGACATTTTGAAGATGCCTATTTGAGAGAGAATATTCGTATAAGTTATTTTGGGAGAATACACATTGTTTTACAACGTCGTCTATGTTAAGTCTTTTTATTTTGTTGGTCATGATTATCGCAGGACTGTAATAGACGTCAAGCAACCTATGTCAAGGAAAGACAATCTGTGAGTGTAATGCAGCTTTGCATACAATATTTCAACACGTGTAGAAGTCGAATTTGATTGGTATTTTGACGTGATCGGAAAGCTTTTTTAACGAATTTTAATTACCGCATCAAAAGTTACAAGTTGTTGCATTTGAAACGACACTTTTAATTCGCGCTCTAGAATATGACCTCGCGGGTCACTGGAGTTTACGCGAATTTGAATCCGTTTCTTGTTAAAGGGTCCAACAAGACAATTACAGTGCGAATGGAAATATATATATATAACGGGACACAGCAGGCCTTTAATGATCATCGTTCAATTTTCTGTTTATTTTTATTTTACAGGTCCTTCAAGCATGGTATCAGCATCAGATCAAAGTTGGTATAACATTTTAATTTTAATTTTTAATTTTAATTTTTAATTTTAAAATCAACTCGAGCACGTGGACTGTCGATTACCAACCAATTAATGCTCTACAACATACCCAACTTCCCCAAGCGTCCTGCAAAAGTTGCCGCTTTACGTAAAGGGTCGACGTCATGCCACATATGACATGGGAAGACAACTCGAAAGTGTAGCTTCCATGTTTCATGATTTTCTCCCCTCGATCTTCTCACACAAAACCAACTAATATCATAATGCAAATAAGGTTCGCATTCGACACTGGATATCAGAGAATTTCAGATTTCAGAAGGGTATAAATTATAGGTTTAATATTTTTTTCACAATCAACCATCACGATAAAAATTATAAGTAATGCATCGGACAGGAGGGCAAAAACCCTGCCCATAACAATTAAAATTTACAGGTATAGGATTTATGGTGCCTGACCTGTTTAGTCAAGTTTTTGAGCTCCCTTCAGAAAGATTTTAGCCCCCACCCGTTGGCCTTTTCATCTCTTTTGAAAAATACATCTCAATTTCAGATAACGATACGGCGGCAATAGCAGCAGGTGTAATGGGTAGTTTAGTTTTCATATTCCTGATCGCCTGTATTGTGTGGATGTGTAAAAAGAAAAAGAAGTAAGTGAAGGCGGTTTTCCTTTAATTTTTTGTAGTATATAAATAAAAATATCTCATTTCATGAGGACTTCCGGTGCATGAACAAAGTAAGCGAAACCATCGCATGGTATCAGTATATCCAAAACGCCTAACCCTGCACTGGGCAAAGGCGATAATACCTCTTTTCAATTCCTTGTAATAAATTTCGAATTGGAAAAATTTGAAAATTGTTGACACGCATATTTAGAAATCCGTTTGCGATGAAAATATACGTACTTATGTGCATGTTATATACCAAAGGATTATTTATTTGTTTTTCTATTTCAGAAAAAAGATAAATGATGACGGCTTCTAAATCTAAATCTTGCATTGGGTTAATATTGTAAATATTTGACAGAAAATGTATTAATAGCTGCATCTATATTTGTATAAATGTTTAAGGTGTTGCATGTATATAGCCAATATTTGACAGTAATCGTAATACGTAAATTAACAATATATTAATGATTTGGTTTTTCATCCGGGTGCACAAAACCTAATGATTGTTGTTATGTATAAACTTTTACTTATTTCGCTTGTATATTTCTATTATAGTATGTTATATATTTTATGTTTTGATGAAAGATGTAAAGTTTTGGTCTATTTTTATCACGTTAAAGAGGAGAAACTACGGCTATTTACAATATAATATCTCTCAACCGCAAAGGTTATATGAATAGGATTACAGTAGAGTAGTCTGTAGTAATTGTACATGTTTATTACCTCCCTTTGGTTATTCAATTAGATTGGAATTTCTCTTGAACAGTTCACTTCATCATGATGATAAAAATCTTTAAATTGGTCATAATATACGACACATTAGTTAATATTATTTGTATACATAATTTAACAATAAACAAATTACTAAAATAATTATACTGCTACAATTACACCATTTAAAATATGAAATAAAATATTATATAATGAAACATGGGACTCTCTTCAATAAAAGGGCCTTTGCTGTCAGTAGCACACAGTTCCAATCGGGCTGTGCGGAATCGCAATCAAGAGATTTCGGAGGCATAATTTTTATCCCTGGTGGCAGTTAGACTTCACAGTCTGACGCCCGGAATTAATACTAATAGAAGTGAACCCTACAGTCATGAACGAGTAGGCATACAAAGTCGTATGTGCTTCATAGAATACATCAATGAGCAAATAGGACCTGAAAAACAAATTGTAATATACCATTATCAACGATCCGAACAAAATTCAAAAACAACATTGTCATAATGGCGAAACATTGGTAGGAGCTAGTGAACTTTTCACATTAAGAAATCATAAGTGAATAGGGTCAAAGTATTTCATAATGAAAAGTGGTATCAGCTAAATAGAAGAGTAAACATACCCTGCATGGAACCTTGCCTGTCAGTGCTGCTCAACATATAAGACAAACGGGAAAGAAGAACCAAAACCAATTTTCAAAATTTCAAGGGAGATAACTGATCACAAAGTTATATAATGTCAAGAAATGTGGAAGCATTCTATAATGAAAAATGATATCAAGTCTTAGTCTGTTCAACAGTAAACATGCAAGATAATCCACAAGAAGGATATATTATACTTTATCTACAGTCAGACGGACCAAGTAAATTCAACTGATATAAAGTGAGAAAGACTTTTACGACTTTGTAAAAATATTTAACATGCTGATGTATATTCTCCCAATTGCCCATCGAAAGGAAAGTTTAAGAATTGTGGGATTTGAGAGTAGGCTAATGCTACAAAAGGAAAGAAAGGTGCGAAAAATGTTCCTCACTTCGAATCATTTCTCTTACCCAGTCCAAAGCGACAAGCCTGAGACATAGGAATTTTAGGTACCAAAGGGGTTAAGTAATGCTAGGTCAAAAAGGGCACAGGCATATCAAAAAGGGTCAAAGTTTCTCGAACAAATGATATGTCTTCATGACAATTTCTGATAACAAATCATATCAAACTGTTCTCTCAGGGGTTCAAAATGGATTTCTTTTATTCAAACCATATATATATAGAGTGACGCCATCATAATTTGGTCAAACTATCCTATAAATGCATGACCAATGGCATTTGAATAAATTTTAATATTTTGTTTCAGTTTTCCACATATAGCCAATATATTTCTTCAAACTAGAAATTCCATAGTATACATTATATGTATTTTTTATATATGGCGGACGAGTGGTCACTTTAACTTCCAAACGCAGATTATTAGCTTAACTAAAAAATCCGTTCCAGAGATCTAAGGTCAGACAGATCGCGAAAGCGTCCCTTGGGCATAGTCCATCTTACGTGATATTTTCATGTCGAATTTTTTAATTATTCATCAACATCCTCATTTAAATCGTCACATGCATTTAAAACTGATTCGACAGCCAGTTGATCCTGGGCTGTATATTTCTCCTTCAATCGGCGATGAATAGCTTCATCTGTAACAACACCATCAAGGACTTCAAGATCTACTTGGCGATTGAAAGGGGAGGTAACTATTCCTTTACTTGTGGTCTGAGTCTTTTTCTTTGTTAGTTTCCCACCTGCTATCATATAGTCAGTATTGACAGTGATTTGAGGGTAAACCTTTTCTTGTTTTTGAGTAAATTCCACTTGATCCGAAACTTGTACACAATCCGGACATAATCCAGGTCCAAACAAATCACAATAATCCTTTTTATTATTCTTATATAAGCCTACAATTGGTTGCTGTCTTTTACAATCCACTAATGAATGGTCATGGATGTCGATTTTCCGTATCGCTAACCTCGTCTCATCAACCGATTGCTTTCGGGTTAACTTTATGCCTAGTTTAGAAATGGCGCCAGTTGGTACGTTGATGTCAAAATTGTATTTTTTCATTGAGTCCAGATTTGCTCCTTTAAATCGTGTTTCATGGCTCTGTTCTAATGTTTTCTCCACCAGTTGCTTCACGGAGAGAAGTAATTTAGCATCTTGATCAGACAGTTTAGATTCCGTAACGTGTTTCCAGGATTTTCCTAAACCAAGTGTTTGTTTTTTAATCTTTCTGTTGGTGGCCATTTTGTTTTAACGATATAAAAATATATAACCTGTAATAAGTAAAATGATTTAGATAAGGTTATGGGTATAATCCTGCAAGAATAAGGGTTACCGACACATCAGCAGAGATTGTTTTTTTTCAAATATCTGAGTTGAAGAGCTCTTCTACTATTCAGTGAAAGAATTGAGTGATATGGATTATTAAGAGCTCTATCAGTGCATTATTCCGCCCTACACTAAAGATATAAACCGTGATTTAGTCAGTGCCATGTACAGGTAGTCACTTGAAGTTATAAGTTATATCGAGTTCGAAACAGTACGTAACTATGGAGGTTAAGGACTTACAGGAATTTTAGTAACAAACTTTTAGTAATAAGGATGCACCAACAAACATAGCTCATTACTTGTAGATTATTGTAGAAATTGACGTACATTATCGAATTCAAGGCAGTTGAAACGAGAGTTTCAAAGTAAAAATTGATTTTAGCTTACCGTTTTAGTCGATAATTATACAGACCAACATGCCTACGCTCAATAATCACCAAGGATCACTTTTCATGTCGACCTCACGTCAACTTAAAACCCATACAAAACGACTATGAACAAGTCGGACCGTTTGCCATTTTGTTAATACCATTGTCATCATGAATGTGATATTGAGAATGAATAATGAGAAATCAAATGTATGGAAATATAATAATAGCATAATAATAGAAAGTAAGAATAGAATGTACTGCTATAGAGAAGTGTTAGTTTGCCTAACAACTTTACTGTCTATAAAAATCAGTGACAAATTAGCACAGAACGGCACAGTAAAAATCATGGAATATCTAGGTTCATCTTAGTTGTGGAATTAAAGGAAACAAGCACATTATTGTCCCAGCTAATTTTAATGACATATTTTATTGGTCCGCCAATTCCTTCACAACACAATGTCTGTGCTGAAACTAAAGCAACAATGAAAAAGAACCCCGTTCAGTAAATATCACAGGAATTGGATGAACAGTGTAAATATTGTGAGGATGGTGGAGGGACAATAAAATGATCGGAATACGGAACATTAAATAGATAAACTGTACATATTTGTCGAAAAAAATAAAACAAATGGTGTTAAATATTTAAATAAGATAAATTTTAACAAATAAATACGGGTGCTATATACTTTCTCATATGATAGAAATTTCATCCTGGGCTCTGTCATCTCCTGAATAAAAGTTAAAACCATTGCCTGTCGTATGTCGTAACTCAGGGATCCCTTATGATAACCTGTTTTGTTATAATCTTCAGATTAAATACGACGATGACCATATTTATTACTGACTGGTGTAGACGCCATATCGAAACTGTCGGTAGAGGGCGTCCCAGCTCTATCACGTCTGGTTCGTCGCCGACCGTCTGCTTCATGACGTATTTCATTCACTCTGGGAGCTTGGGAAACAGGATCCACTCGGAAGTGACGACTGGCATCCCATACAGCCTTTCTTCTCATGAAACTTTCTCTAACCTAAAATCGGATGACCACATAAATTACAAAATACAAAATACAAGATGGACATATTATATACCTATCAATCAATCTTTTGATGTGCAGGAATGAATCAAGAATCAAATTGCATTGTTATAACCTCATGCATCGTACAAACGGAAGCTTTGTCGTGGTGTTGGTCTTGTATGACTTGTTTCAGACCCCTATGAGGGGACTACCTACCTCTGTGTTCCAGACGCAATGGCAGAAGAACAACATGAAGCCTTGTAGTGTGTTGGTAACGGTGAACAAATATTGGAATATAACAGTTTCACTTGAAACAGCAAGAACTCCAAATAACCATGTACAACCTAATAGTGGTAATAGCAGAACACTGGCTTTGACAGCATTCCTATAAATATATTATAGATTCATGTCAAATTATCTTATTTACTATGCGATATACAAATGGGACACGCCATTTTCGGTTAATTTTGGGTCTTGAATATATGCGAATAGTCTTCAGAAATAAGCAACAAGAAATGTACGAAAATCGCATAATTCATTCAAAAATACCCCAAAATAGGATTTTGTTTTTCTATTTCTATATGTCCTTCATGTCTCAAGAAAAGATGACTCTTTTTAACTTTCAAACGTGGGTGATTCTGGACACGCATGGATTTGAACGTTCAAAATCGACGGTGAGCTGTGAAAATTACCGTTCTGAAACTAAGGTACGATTGGTAAAAAAATAGCACATTAGTCCCTAAATACAATCTCCTTCTAGAAGTGTTTTGAATCAGAATAAGCACCAGAGCTATGTGAAGTTAATTGTTGTTTTTTGTATATAGACTAATAAGACACATATGAAGTTTTGAGAAAGTCTTCAATGAAAAATGATATAACCATGGAAATTGAAATGAAATAAGTCTATACATTATCATCACCCTCCTTACCTGATGACAGCTAGTTTTGGTTTATCCATCGTATTACTCATACTGTAGACAACCTTCATCACAATAACTAATATCACCAGGTTAGTCTGCAATACAAACAGAAATAGCAAGATGTTGCTTAAGAAGACAATGAAGAGGCAAACCACATAAATACGCCCTAGTATTCCTAGCTCAAATTGTGATAGATGCATGTACATAGCAGAGAATAAGGACATTGTGATGTTAGTAATGTAAGTGAGATAAATGTGGTGTACTTACAAAAATCACCGCTAAAGCAGGAACAGCAAATGCCCAGATAGAATTATCATGAGGTGATAACCAGCATCTAGAAGGGATAATGTCTTAGATGAAATCAAAACTTAAGGACAAAGGCACATATCAATTGATAATATAGAAAAAGAAGATGGAATTGGTCTGTATAATTACTCTTGGTAGTGAGATTGCATTCATTTAAATATTCAAATAGCTTGAAATACCGGGTCTCACCAATGCAAATCTTACAAAACTACTTACACCCCGTGTTGCCCAAGATCTGAATTCAAAACAGCTAAACATATCGTCGCCAACAGAATCGGAGCACCTGGAAACATATAAAGACAGTGTCAATTCATTATTGAAAGGATTACCTTTATTTGAAAACAAGCTTTGTTTATTTTTGTCTTAACAGGGTCGAAAACTAAATAATATTTCAGAAACATTTCATTTGATCTTTAAGCTTACCCCAGCCAATACCATAAAATATCTTCATTTTACTATCTGAAGTAAAAACAACCACAATCTGTAGAAACAACTGGATCCCTTCCACCAACATCCAACTAAATATCGACATATTAAAATAATATAGTAACAATGTCACGGCAGTACATGCGGCCTGAAAAGTAGCGAAAAATTATTTTATTGTATGTTGATGGGCAATTACTTTTGGGACATTGTCCGCGGTTCAAGTTCCGATATATTTGGATATTAGATAAAACTATATGTAGATTGTCATTAGTCATAGAAGCTTATAAAGGAAACCATTCTAAACATGATTATATATCATATACCTTGCTATCTTGCAATGATAAAGGTTCGACAAGATAGTTGATAAAAATAACTGATATGTTGATGTAATGAAGCAGCCATCATACTGGCTCATCTGCCTCTATCGACTGTAGTGCCGACATATCCCCATAAAACAGGGAGTAGTTTTTCTGTGTCTACACCAGCTAACAACTTTCAAAATAGCTATCAGAGGCTGGATTTGAGGCAGATGGTTCGGTCGAAGTAGCCTTGAGTTTTTCTAACTACCTAAAAGGCTAATAGTTAGTAAATAAAATAAATACTAACTGTTCCCCTGGCGATAGCTTCCTCAATCAACATTAATATCTGAGCACCTATTATAGCTACTGCTAGATTCATGTGAATCATTACACGGTTTGTATAAATTCTAAAATTGGAAATAAATATATTAAAATCCCTCCAAAAAACTCGACTCAAGTTTTTCTGACATCGTTTGGAATAAAGACATTTTATTACTTGAAAATGAAAGTAAATATTAATTCTTGAATAGGTCATGATTCATATTCTATAAAACTATAGGTTTGTCCTGTAAGAGAATTTCAATGTAATGATTATGATTTCCTTAAACTAAAGCTTGATATACCTTAGAAATAAGAATGTTAATACTGTCAAAATGCCTCCCATTATCGACAGGGCGCATCCAATAAAGGTTATTGTTTCTAATGCCATCTTGTCCTTTTCACTGATCTGAAAGATAGAAAGCAAAAGTCATAATTTATAACACACGCAACTCGGGTTCTACATAGAAGATTATTATTACGCTTACCTTAGAACAGCTTGGTTGACTGATATAGTTAGGAACGATGGCTTTTCTACGGTACTTAATTTACAAACGTTGATGGATATAAGAACCCTCCTCAAATAAAATCAATAATAAAAACGACTTACCGCTTGAGTCAATCCCTAATGAAAAGCAATATATGAGCAAAAAGTTTTTAGCACAAAGACTTTGGTCAGTAATATATATCAAGATTCGCTAAAGGTGTTTCAATAATGGGGAATATTTATCTACATGAAATATATGTTATTAAAACACAAACCTCAAAAGGAACAATCTGCATCAGAATAGCGAAGTTGGTGAGATGGCTGCAAGAGCACGTCACCGAATCTTTGGCAACCTGCAGTAAAACACAGCCTGTATCCGTCCAATATGGCAACACTGTACTAACACCATCTTTTGAACTAGAAAAAAGGTGACATGACAATATTACTGGATTTCATTTTGAGATCCACACATCTTTAAGTTGAATGTTAATACACATATCGTTACAGATTGCAACACTTGAGTCATTTTTCAAAATCCCTGAATATAAAATAAAAATGTGTTCCTTTGTTCCTTTTCTTGAAATTATAACAGAAAACTATTTGGATAGTTACCTGTTTTTGAAATCTAAATAGACACAATGAGGATAGACATCAGAACCATTAATCTCTGGTAGTTTAAATTTATATTGGATATTGGAGTTGACTAGACTATCATCATCATATACTGACATCCCGAGTATATCTTCACCTAGTTCAAGGTAAGAACTGAAACAAAAAAATAATCAAGTTAATGGCCTAGGTTAGTAGCCTGATACAATCATTTTCGCCCATGGCCTGTGGTGTTCTTTTTTGCGTTTAACTAATATCTCTTCATTGTTGTGCAGATTAAAATCTTCATATTTAGTATATACATGTTCAATTACCATTATCATTACGGTAGTATGTATTGCATATGAAATGGAGTTATACTCATTCTTCTGAAACCGGTGATGCCTTCTTGCGTCATGGATTGTCAGTTACACAGAGAGGAGGAGGATATATGAAAACAGAAGAAATTAGTACATGTATTTCAAATCGACTATATGGTCATATTTCATATTTGACATCTACATTTTGAAAGGTTTACCTATTTGTTTTTTCACTGTCATTATGTTTATACTGTAAATCAATATTGTGATCAGTTGGAAACAGATTACCAATTCCTTTATATAAAACATTAACCAGTAATACACTAGATCTGTTGTCTGTTTCTAAAATTACCGAGGAACCATGTTGATATTCATAATTCTCTTTAGAAACACTATCTACTTTTACTCGAATTTCTACAATAATAGATAGTCGTGATATCACAAATATCTTGCCAGTGTTTCAATCGAAACAGTTTTATCTTGAATAAATTGGTGTCACAGAGTTGATATCGACTGACATGATAACGACATAACAAAATATATTGTTGTGGAAGTGCATTTGTTTTGCCACTGGTAATATCTTCAAAGAGGTGTGACTAGTAGAGATTTTGTCTTGACTTTAGACTGATAGTCTGTGCCCAATTTTTAGACTGTATTTTGAATGCTTTTTTGTCAATGTCAAAGAACGGTATTTATATACATATTTCGTAACGCAGGTTTGATTTCGAAACCGGATTATGGCAATGGAAACGTTGACACAGTACCTACGGAATCTCGTATCTCGGTTGCTTCGTATGTTCCATTTGATTCATTCTGAAGTGAATATCTGGATACTTTTCCTAAAAAGTCATCTACGGCTTCTACTAAATTTGGCAGAGATTCTGGTTCCTAAAAGAGATATGTCATATGCTTAACAATAAAAGTAACATGTGAAGGTGAAAAATAGAGCGACATCTAGCTTTCAGTTAATGATACAAAACTTTTTGTTGTTGTATTTTCAATAAACATCTTCATTCCGTTTTATGAAAAATATGAACTCTGAATAAACGTATTTGTTAAATATGTTGATAAATGAGAGACTTCTAGAATGGTTACCTTATCAGAAAGATCTTTAACAGCACCTCTGTTTGTTTTTCCTAATACACCATCTATAGTATCACTCACTTTCTATAATACACAAACAACAAAATCATTATCATTCGATCTTATTTCAACCTCGTTCTGTCAATCTAGAATTGGAAATTGAACTTTATAGATAAATCCACCATCAGTTTTGTAAATTATTTCAACAGAAAATACCGCATAAGATCCGATTGGTTTATTTGCATTTTCACTTTTCAGTCTGAATAACAAAAGACTGATATTGATATCGGCAAAAATACCTTTGTTTGTAAATTGTTCTTACCGATACTAAGCTTTCTTCTGTAGTATTTTGAACAGGTTTATCACTGGAAGCACGAACTCTAGAGAATCTGCTTAATTTAATCTGTGGTAAGTACTGAGCTGCCGCGAGTCTTTCCCATAGACCTACCATTTCTTTAATATCATTATGTGATAGGGGCTTGGTCTTTACAATTTGTTCAAGGGATGAAACTACTGACGTTGCTGTTTCTAGATTATTTGTTTCTGATACTGTAGAATCCTGCACAAAACAGAGATCAGACTTTTACTAACTTTACGAAGGATAACATCACAAACCTTACATTTATTCTTTTGAAAGATATTGTCATAACAATAAATGTTTAGGGAAATATGTGTCTCAAATTTCTTGTTAGGTTGATGCCATTTTATTTAATTGTATTCTTAACCAGCGTGACAATCAATAGTTGTAAAATACTGCAGCAATGAGTTCTATTAGTCAGGATGCATCAATAACGTGGTATTCTATAATACATTAAAAAAGATACATTACCAACTGATTGATGGGTTCCTCAAATGTCTTTATACTATCTGAAAAGAAAAAACTTCATATTGAAATTGTAAGCAAATACTTACAGATTCCTTCATTTCAAAGTTGAAATTTTTAAACTTGGCCAAAATGAGCCTTTAATCATAATTGGTGGTAGGTGATATTCCTTTCCACTTATTTTCGTTCGTATTATGTATGTCAGTGTAGAACAGACAGCTTCGGTGATACCAGAAGATACTTACTTGCAACAGCTACATCGAATACCTCACGTGGCTTTAGCACCCTGTTCCAAAAGGCGAACTCATCAACTCGGATAAAGTTTGACCAAGGTTTGCTGTAAATATAAGCACGAACTTAAATTCAGAATAAATCTAGGGAATTTTGAAAACGTGAGAGGAGGCAATTATTTGAATATTGATAAATGACTTTTTTGCAATAGTTTTCAAGAATAATCACTATTTTCAGACGAGATGACTAAGCCCAGGATTCAGCAAGATTACAAGTTCCTTGTGTGCTGCATCGAAAATGTATTTTGATGGATTGATACGAAACGGCAAAAGCCTGATGTGAAGAAAAATTTTCCAATAGAATTTGTTACAGTCATTCTCAGGCCAAAGAACCTTTATCCTCGAACCTGCTCACATCTCTTTATGATAGTTACACACAAAGTGCTTACTTTATTCTTAAATCATTAATACTAAAGATAGTCGTGACTGCTATTAACTTTCTGTTTTTGTAACAGATTTATAACTTTGTGGTTATCTTCAACTTACTCTTTGTCCACACATCCTATTCTGGCCGAGTCATAATCGTTATCTATTGGAATAGTGGTATAGTTTCTCTCATGTATTTTCAACTCTCCTTCAATATATACTTTCAAACCTAGAATCCAAAAATATTGGATGAAACATCTATTGTACTCCGTCAACTAGTAGAATTGTTATAATTCAGGTAATGACACTATGACCAAAAACTGTAAATGTTCATTAGATTCATTTCGAACTTAAAACAACTTGCAACAAGTTTTCAAAATAGTTAGCTTATGACTGACTGAACAAATGCTAACTATCTAGCAATCCAAGATCTCTGTATGTATAAACTTACCTTCATGGTAAACCAGGCTATTATCAACCTTTGGACTAAAATTCAGATTTTCTAAAGAATTCTGAATCTGATCAGGTATTCTGGGAACTGTAATGGAAAAATGTATAAAGCCTTATGTCTACAATAGACAGCTGTATTGTTACAACGATGTGCTTAAATATTATTCCACAGCCTTATATAATATTGGACATCGCACCCCTCACCATTGTCCAATGTAGGTAATGGTGTTATATTATTGCGAAACTGTAGGTAATGGTGTTATATTATTGCGAAACTGCAATTCCTCGGTACAGTTGAGAAAGGGTATTTTTACATTGCCTTGTCCTATTTGGGAAACAAACACAAGCATTTTTTTGGTATACATATATATACATGTATATAGAAAATCTTTATAGTTCGTACTTGTGTTGAATATTACAAAAACCAGCCAGTAATTAATTGGACTGGTCGTGTTTAAGGTTTTGAATCGTTCCTTGATTTGCATATCTTAGCCTGACTATATATCTTCTGAGATCTATTGATTATGTTGTTTGATTTAATAAAATTCCTTCTCGTTATGTTATGAGCGATGCCAAACTGTTACCACTGGTGGCTACATGGGGTGGTGGATATTGGTTTCCCAATCCCAATTCTGCCTGACTGTTGCGTTTATTACCTCTAAAATTACAGGTTACGACTATGCTCATAAACCATCTGGAGCTAACTGGTACTATAGATTCATCAAAACTGGCTGTGTATTGTCTCTTTTTTGTGTTTACAGTGACTATAAATACATTTAACTTTCGATTGTAACCAAAATATATTCCTGTAGAATCTTTATGTCCCCCTAAAGGAAAAGAAATATGTATGAGTTAGAGTTTCCCAAACATTACAGGTAGACATGACCATGATCTAAACCTAAACTCCTGTTTCCAAACCTGGGTTGGGAATGGTACCTGAAAAGCTTCTTAAATGCAATGTATTATAATTAGTAATACCAAATTTTTCAGTCGTATTCACATGTCGAAGTCAGAATACTTAACAACTGCAACTTGTACATTATGAAGTCTTTGATGAGATCTTCTACTGATGAGTACGGGGGAAGCATCAAAAATTATTTCGTTTCTTACATTTCTGCGCCTAGAAAGCATATAAGCCAGATTAAGAATACAAAATTTGCCTATCATATAACAAGAATATATTGGTAGAAGATTTAAAAACATATTTCTTGGAACTTTTATCTTACCGGTTGTAATAAATGTTAGGTCTTTGTTGACAATGACGGGATAACTGTATGAGAAAAAAATTGAAAAAGTGATCCCATCACACGGGCCCGGATTACTCAAACAAGAGGCTAAAAAAACAATTTACCATTAATGAGCGATATTTCATCGAATTTGACATTTTATAAGCAAGTAGCTACAAGTTGCTATAAATCAAACTTTCGCCAACCAGCTTTGTATTACTATACAGACTGTTCATCCACCGTAAGATATAAAACCAGCGGATGTTAAATGTAACAACTGAACAACCCTTGAATTTGACGAAAATACGATCTTCAAGAACTTAGCTCATCCTTATACTGACATCTTATGAGTGACTCCAGTTGCCTTATATGACCTAACCAGGAATTGTTATGTATCTTTTGTTCCAGGTCATTTAATATTCAACCAATCATTGGCTTGTATTTTAATATAGTTTTTGATTGGTAAGTGTAAATGTGAGAACTTTTGATACTTTAGGGTAAAATCTGTACAGAACATATTTTAGAAAATATTCTCGACAGGCTATGATGTCCAGAAGAGGACCCCCTTCAGAAAAAAACACCATAAAAGTCCAGATCTGAATGCTTATCAATCTAATTAAAACTAGATTATAACAGACAATCACACGCCACTTTTGCAAGTGAGTAACGACAGTCTCACAATCTCATTGGTCATATCTGGGTTTCTCTATCCCATTCATAGTCGATATTTAGACACAGACTGTGCATGAAGCGCTGTAATTGGTTGGAATGAACATCAATGGTACGCAGTATTGGTTTAAATTTTTTTTTAGATTACGATGGAAAAAAAAGTAAGGAAACGAAATTGTAATCTTATTTTAATTAGATTTCATGTTTATCAGATTGATATCTAATGACTTACCATCAAATTCACCTAGGTCCAAACAAGATGACTTGTTAATCATCACCGCACCAAGTCGCCTTCCTTGATCCATTAGAGTAATCTCGCCTGATATTTCTTCAGATTTAAACCCACTTTTATCTGTAAACTGAATTGATAACAGATAATAGAACAGATAGAGCCTACGACAATAACAGCGACTAATAGAAATCAAGCTTTAACATATCAGAAAATTATACCCAAATCCACTGCTAATATCAGGAAATACTGCCATTTCAATTTCAACTTGTTCTAAAGGACTGTCGGGTAGCACTTTCTGTGTTTAAATATTTTTGGGAATCCATGGTCTTCCTGCGTATTTTTAATTTCAAGAAGGTCTGAGGATAAAATGAAACAACATCCAAAACCGTTAGACAAGGACAATAAACCGAGTTCTATGTGCTACATGGGCTCACCTGAAAGATGCCTCGACAGTTGAACAGTGGTGTCATAACAGAGTGTTTGTAGGGGTGGGGTGTCCTTTTCTCCCCTGCACGGTGATGTTTGTTTTGGTGTAAAGCTTTATTATTTTGGGGTTTTTATTTTAATTCACGATATATTTCTACGATCATTTTTTTATTATTTATATAGGAAATGATATTTAATTTGTTATAACATTAAGTAAAAAAGTTAAATGTAAAATCTATCAAAACACGTAATATTAATTGATGTAACTATTTTCAGATGTAAAATGTTTTGATTAACCTGTTTGTATTGGATATGGCGAATAGGAGTAGATGCTATATAAGTCTATTATAATAAATATTTACATACCTTGTTGTCATCGTCCAAATCATCAAATGGAAAATACACTTCAGCATCAGAGTAAATCTTGTGCTCTGAAACATAATTTCAGTCGACAGCGTTACATCTAAATCACGGTGACATTAACATTAAAAAAGACGTGCTCCAATCTCTTATCGACATTGCGGGATAACATCCAGATTCATTTCTCTAATTGAAGCATGGTCATTTTTATAAGGAAATATTTCGACAGTGTTACATCTGAATATATGATGTAGAGAAATACTCGAATCGATCTCGTGTCGAAAACCCAAATATGAAATATTTTTTTGTTTTATTTTATATCATGGGTGATTGAAGTGAACATCTTACAGCGGAGGTCATTATGTTTATACAATATACGGTTCTATATCCAACGTATAAGCTCATACATGGTAAAATGGTAAGAAAACCCCGATTGTAAAGATTGATAATATCATAACACGGGCATAATTACAAGGAAATAAATATGAGAGCTTACTACATTTCCCACACATATAGCTACAATCGGAGGCCACATTAGTATTATTACATAGGTTTGGATAATAACCGCTTTCACCAGCATCCACAAAACAGCGTACATCACTGTCTCGACACGGAACATCATCTACAAAATAATAGAATTGATTCAGACAATGGATTAGGCTTTGTGTTTAGAATTCCCCTTTTGTTTTTTATAAAGTGATTGAAATAGAGAGTCAAATGCTTGGTTGTGTGTTTTCAGTGTGGTACTACACTCGCGATATTCTTTATCAGACAGCGCTACAATTTATCACAATTCACGTTAACCTGTTAAAATCTGTTCAAAGTGGGCTGACGATGCAAATTTATAATATTCAATGGAAATTCCAGAATCTCTTATATATGGTTAACAACACCTTTTTCTTACAGAACATTTGATTGGTTAAATGTTTATTGATATTGACAATAGAATTTGTGACAAAAAAATCACACAATACATTTCTTAGTACAACTCACCTAATATATTTCCTTCAACTATAACACTAATGATCTACAAAACAATAAAAATATTATAATTAGATAATTTTCCCGTTAAATAATTTCCCATCCTATTAATTAAAGTAGGTTTGCAAAAATATAACAAGCTAGGCTAGATAAGGTTTACTCCAATTGAACACAAATCTATGTGTTTTTGTTATTAAAGGTATAAGGTCTATAATATCTACTATAACCCAAACGTTTAGAATTTTCAAACTTGGCAAAAATGAGTCTTTGTTCATCTGTTGACTTAACTGGTGTCAAAACTATACAACAGAAAGCCATAAAACTAAGTAATTATCCATAAAACTAAGTAATTTTTCTTAAAACTAAAGTAATTATTAAAGAATTCTTAGAAGCGTCTTTAAATAACTTCTTAGTTATGTATGTATCGTCTTATTCCATCGTATCCAAACCACACCCCCATTCCTCAAAACCCGTATTCGTGATACGATGCGTCTTATTTATAAATTCTATGTTTTGGTCACGGCACCAGATAAGTCCTCATGAATATAATATATATATACACTTATTGGCCAAGTTTGAGACTTTCAATTTAATGTTCATTCTAAGAACTTAATATCATTCAACTCTTCCATTCCGTTAAAACTAAGCAATATAAGACGTAGGCTTAGTAAGTAAAATTTAGAGTTTTATAAGGCAACGGTAAATCAAAATGAGAATGAGTCGGCAATTTTAAGTTAGAAATTCCGCCATCTAGTAAGGGATGATAACATAATATTATTATGTTATTGTGGTCTGGTGTAGGAACCACTTTTGTAATAACGACCAGTTTTGTAATAGCTCACCACTTTTGTAATGAAATCAACCGCTTTTGTAAAAAACTTACCAATTTTGTAATAACATGCACCCATCATTTTTGTAATAAAATTAGGTCACCACTTTTGTAATAAGCTAGCCAGCTTTTGTAATACTATCAAGGGTCACCACTTTTGTAACAGCTAAGTTTATTACAAAAGTGGGTAACCGATAGTAGTTTATTACAAAAGTGGTCAGGCTTCATGTCAGCCTTGAAATTAGGAATGAGCAGCATCCAACTGGTATGCAGTAATTTAGGCACAGAATTTTTAAACACACCTCATTTAGACATAGTACTTTAGGCACACATCTTTTAGGCACACGGTCAGTTAGGCACATGTCAGATAGGCACAGTGTTATTTAGTCAACCCATCCAATGTGCATCATCATTAGAATCCAACATTGGCGGCATCTAACATCCATCATCAGCGGCATCCATCATCGAACATCCATCATCCGAGATTAGCGGCATCCATCCATCAAAGGCGGCATCTAAGATCCACCATTCAACATCAGCGGCATTCAACATCCACGGACGTCTATAATAATCTATAAGGTTATTATGGTGTCGGTGCCATCATCCAACATCGGCGGCATCCAATACCCATCATAAGCGTCGAGCCATCATCAGCAGCAACATGCAACTTCAATCCATCCAACATCGGCGGCATTCAAACTATATCCATCGTTGGCGGCATCCAACATCGGCGGCGGCATCCAACTTCCATCATCCATTATCAGTGGTTGATGAGAAGTAGATTGGATGATTGGTCCATTGGTCCAGGACCATGACCTCCTGAGGCCGGACTATCATTCCCCCTGAACAATTACCCCCGGACAATTACCACCCCCCTGGACAAAAGTGGTGACCTAATTTTATTACAAAAATGGGTGCATGTTATTACAAAACTGGAAAGTATTACAAAAGCGGTTGATTTTATTACAAAAGTGGTGAGCTATTACAAAACTGGTTGTTTTTACAAAAGTGGTTCCTACATCTGGTAGTAGTAGAATTCTCTTGCGGGAGCTGTGTCATTTCCGGTTAAGTCTTTCTCGAATTGCAACCACAGGCATCGGAAGAAGAATTAGAATGTCCCAAATAGAGGTTAAAGGTGTACCCCGATACATAAGGCTAGAAAACCTCTTTAAAATCCCTGTGTTCAACCTTTCTTCGGCCGGTCTACTCATTGTTTCATTAAAAAAAAAAACATATAAATATAATTATCTGAAGATATGGCCTGCATATCGGTCCAATATCCTCAAGTTTCGTCTGTGGGTCTTTTCTCTAAAACCCCGCAACGATGTATTAGGCTTATATGCCATTTTGATATAATCTACAATAATATACAATTCAAAGTTGTCCAAATTAAATTTCTATCGTTGCAGATCACTACCGTAGATTTTTTTTCATTACATGTAATTAGCACACAGACATTTATATCAATTTCCATCACAATTTAACAATTTATCTTCAGAATTTCAATATTAGTATAGGTAAGTGGTTAACGTCTACTGTGTTATTATTAGCTACCAAAAGTTCAGTCAGTGAGAAAATTTTGTGATTTCATATAAAAAAATCCCCACTTTTCATGAAAAGAGAGGTATCGTCGAGTATCGATACATAATACTATCGCGTTACGATACGTGTATCGTGGCATGTCGTATAGCGATACCACGATTCACCAATAAATAGTGTCAGTACTATTCTTTATGCCTTTTCAGCTTAAAATCATTGTTAAATTTATTTACTTACCAAAATAAAAACACAGCTAAATATCCGTAACATGATATATCATAAATTGTGAATTAATGTGACAACTGAATAATAGTAGGGACGGAAGTAAGATATAGAAGTCTGTCCTTAGTTAATATGTTATCTCTTTAATACCATCCTGTTTGATAGGATATTTCCTAACTGTTATAACCTATAATAGATAATAATATTCATATCAGTTCCATTATGTTCGATATTTTCTAGAAAAACAGGAGTCGTGAGTCAGACAATAGATAAGAGATGTTAAAATTTATTTTTAAACGCAGAGATGTCAATTTACAATGCTTGCACAGTAACGCGAATTATAATAATGCTTAAAAGACTGTGATTCTTCTTTGGATAGGATCTCAAACCATACCAAGTTTAACTTGTATTATCCAGTGCCACTTTGTCTACGCATATATAGCTGCGACGAAATATATTCTCGTCAAAGACGAGTGTATTCTATAAAAGGGGGAGTCTCAAGGAAAGGCGAGGCGTCATTTTAAGTTTCAATCGCGGATAATTCTGGAAAAACATGGATTTGAAGGCTGAGATTTCGACGGTGAGATGAGAACACTGTTACTGTTGAGCTTTGCTAAACAGTTTCTGTTTTTAAGCAAATGCACGAGCAACTGCCGGCATATATAAGAACCCGACCTATCGCTTCTTAAGTACACCGACTATAGTTCTTAAATATCGTAGTTGCCACCAGATGTCATCAGTTGGCCCTGTACTACTTTCTAATAACAATTGCGGTCAATGTGAGCGGTCGAAAAGTAGGAGGTCAATTGTTTTCAAATTATACGCTAGATACATTGTTTCGGTTTTGGAATTCTGACTGCTCTCACCGTTTTGTTTGTTGTCTTGTTGTGATCCTGTACCAAGAACTAAAAGAGGTCAGTCAGATCAGTCAAAATTCCAAAACCGAAGCCTTGGTAATACGACCGAATCTCTTTAACAATGTATTTATGTATTAATATCCTCAAGAGTTTCTATTGTTTCTAAAATCCATCAATACATGGAACAATTAGTTTAAAAGATTGAAATATTATAGCCATTAGGAATGAACTGGGCGATAAGACGTCCCGCAGTTTTACTCTGAAAAATAACGATTTTTTTTTACCTTGATAAGATTAAATCTTACAGTTGATTATATATTTTATATTTTATTTTTACCGTTATTTCAGGATTAGGTTTTAAAATTTAAAAAAAAAACAAGAATAGTAGATTCTATTAGATTGTCAAAGAAATAAAACACTTTGGTCGTCTTTTCAGATCTGACGAAATCTTTAGATCGCGTGTTTTTGGCTACTTGAAAATTAATCAATTTTATAGACAATTTTAGGAGCAATAGTTCTTCCTTTTTATTTCCAAACAACCCACCGTATAATATTAGCTTTACGGAAACTGAATGTTGTTTTGTTTCAATAATATTCCTTTTTCGGAATTAGGAACAACTCATTCACAAGCACCATGCACTTATATTATTCTTGTTAATCCGCTGTGAACAGTGGATGTCGGTATCAGTGTATGTTCCACCAACTGACATATCAAGATATTTGCAATTGTCAATATTTGACCAATAATCAACAGAAAATAAAATATCGTCCGATCATTGATTTTTCCGAGAAATCAAACAGGATTTTCTTTAATTTAATATTCCTTTTTAATGTAAAGAACTTTAAAAGGTTATTTTTTCCGGTCATTGTTCTTGTTTTAATGGAGATATAAAATCTTATCGTCCTTTTGTGAAACGAATTATGTATTCATTTATTATGTTACTATAAAATAAAAAAATTTCGATCTAATGATAATATTTTACAAAGAAAAACAATATTTGAGAGGCCAACAAAATTCTTGTCATTTTTTGTTACGAAATTTTAATTTTATATTGCTTAAATGAAATGAAATAAAACGCACCTAAAATTTGAAATATTGTTTTTAAACCAAGATAAAAGGTCCAATTAAGCTCGTTAAGAATCTCCCAAGGATGAATCCTGTAGAAATAAATATTGATCATAATTCATAATTGTTTCTTGAATATAACAATCTTTTACTGGATGTCTGCGAATTGTGTGAATTCTAAAGCAGGCCGCGTCACACTGTCCCGAAATTGACACCAGATGCACAAACGATGAAGGAAATGTTCAAATTCGGGCCTGATCGGATATAAATCGGACCATTCGGGCTCCGACAGCTATTTTCGTGAGTGATGTCAAAAATCTGTGGCATGCCAAATAATAGGGCGTTGCGAAGGGAGTGTCCATCCGTAATTGATAATGCTGTAATTGCTCTGAGAATGAGTATCGATTACGCGGTGTAAATGTAAGTGCGTCCAAATTACAATGTGCCCTTTTTATTATGACCTAAATACCTTGTGCTCGTATGACTGTTACCATAATACCTTGTGCCTGCGTTACTATGACCAAATACTTTGTGTCCGTTTTACTGTGACCAAAATACCATGTGCCCTTATTACTATGACCATAATACCTTGTGCCTGTATTACTACAAATACCTTGTACCCGATTCAAAAATTTCGTAGTTAATTCGTAACAAATTCGTAATGCATTCTTAGGCATCGTAACTGAATTCGTAAGCATTCGTAATTATCCTTAACTTATTCCAGAGCCAATAATACAGCCGTTCTACTTTGGGCATCCATTTTGAAGCTGATGTCCGAACATGGGTAGAGCATTTTTATGGCTATCTTGAGAGAACACCCCAAGAATTGTTAAGAGCAGTCAAGAATTCATTTTAATTTATAACTAATTCGCACATGCATTCGGCATATTCGTAGCTGATTCCTAACTGATTTCTAACTTTCGGGCAGTATTAAAATCTTAGTGAATTCTTGACAATATTCATGCGAATCCCACGAATATTCGTAACTATATCGTACCTGCATCGTAACTAGATCGCACAGACTCGTGAATTGACCCAAGGAAATGTGCTAAAATTCCAGGAACCCCCACAATCCTAAACTTTACAAATCTTGGCGATTCGTGGAATTGTGCTTTGTGTGGAATAGTTGCATAACGAAGGGAAAACATAAGAATTCAACACAAATAATAAACTTTTGCAAGATCCAATATTTTGTCACCACTAACGAAGTTGCTGTCAGCGATCATTCGATTCCTTAAGATTAAATCTGTTGTTTTTTAAAAGAGACAGGTGTGCCATTATGTGCGGTTATTTGAATATATGTAAATTTGAATATATGTAAATAGTCTTCAGAAGTAGGCTACTAGAAATGTATAAATCGCATAATTCCATCAAAAATATCTCAAACAAGGATTTTCTTTCCCTATTTCGATAGATGTATTTTCTATATATGGCAGTGTCTCAAGAAGAGATGACTCGTCGTTTTAACTTTCAAACGCTGACGATTCTGGACACACATGGATTTAAAGGTTCAACGGCGAGCTGTGAGCACTAATACTGATGAGCTCAGTTAAAAAAAATCCCGTTTCTGAGACTAAAGTTTCGGAGGAGAACTTTATCTTAGCGGAATATAAACCGCCCCTTATTGATGTATTTTTTTTATTGAACAAAAAACATTCTGCTAAAAGCAATTTTATAA